GGAACAGAGTAATAATAATAAAAACGATAGCTAACCCTTATTGAGCACTTCATTGAGCCAGATACTTACTAAGCACTTTCTACATATTATCTCATTTAATCCTCAAAATGTTGTGAGATAGGTACTATTATATAGATGAGGAAACTGAAACAGGAAAAAAGTTTACACACCTGGAATAACAGGTAGTGAGAAAGAAACTCAGATTCCTGACCCTACACTTAGGACCATTCTGTTCATCATCCTTATGCTATATAATATAAGGAACTCTAAATAGAGGTTAATAATATCGGCAGTTATATATCTTAGTTTTGTTTTATTCATAGAGCACATATATGAAATCTCTTTCCTTTCTTGGTGAGTTCAATAAGATCAAGCCTTCCCTGATTCATTTTTAACTTTTTGTGTATATGTGTTTAAACACATTGTTGGCATTTTAGTCATCTTTGGTTGTCATTGTCAGAGTACCTTTATGTAGAAAACTGAAAATCAAATGAGCTTCAAAAGGAGATAATCCTTCCTGGTTTTTTCAGCTCAAGTTCAGAATTACCCTTTTTATCTACTGATGCTATTGAATTCTGGGGATATAAGTTTATAAATTGGACATGTAAAATTATTACACACCCTTCATTATGTTGTTATCTTCCTATGAGTAGTATCATCTTGTTTTTTCAAAGGTCAGACTTTGTCCTTCTAAACAGCTGTAAACATGGAAACAAGGGCTCTTGAAATATCTAAAAATACATATAATTTACACTGGGAAGGACCCTTCCCAGTCTGCTTATTCTACATTATATTAAAGTCTAGGCCGAGCATGGTGGCTCACTCCTATAATCTTAGCACTTTGGGAGGCCTAGCCAGGAGGATCACTTGAGGCCAGGAGTTTGAGATCAGCCGGTAAGTACGAGATCCCGTCGGTACAAAAAGAAAGAAAGAAAGAAAAATTAGCTAGGTGTGGTGGTGTGTACCTGTAGTCCCAGCTACTTAGGAGACTGAGGCAGGAGGATCACTTGAGCCCAGTAATTTGAGGCTGCAGTGAGCTATGATGACGCCACCGCACTCTAGTTGGGGCAACAGATTGAGACCCTGTCTCAAAAAAAAAGGTCTAAAATGTTAGTCTCGTGTTTTGTTTTTCTTTTCCAAGTTGTGTAGTTTAGATTGAAACAATCAATTTGAAAGTGATGGTAGATAAACTGTGACCAAAGGTGACAGAGTAAAGGAGGAGATAGGAAAAAAATAATAACAGCAAGGAAAAGAAATAAAAGTTCAGCATTTGGAAACTTACTCTTCTCAGTCAATCCTCAGGATAATCAGTAACTCAGTGAAAATACGTTTTCAAGAAAAATACATTTCATTTACACCAATAGACATAAAAATGCTTTGGAAATATTATCACTTTTCAATTTTAATGTTTAAGGTGAATATTCTAATGAATGAAAATATCATATCACATTTAACAGGGAAATTTGGATTAAATGAGTCAGACATGTAGTACACTTAGCATAGCACTGAGCTCAATATGTGTTAGCTGCCTTTATTATTTTCATTATCAACTTCTTTTCTTCCACTTGGAGTCAGTTTACTGTCACTTAAAATGCCTTTAGTTCTTTGCCTGAAACTTTTTTAATTTATTAAATATGTGTTCTATTTCTTGTATGACTTTTGTGTATTAAGTTTGTCTCTATAGTCATAGGAAACTATTATAGAATTAGGTTTATTTTGTTCTGTTGGTGGCCATGAGAAAAAAAAGAAAGGAAGCACAAATCGCTGATACTACATGACTGAAGATAACAATGTCAATAGGCTAGACAACTATAATCCTAGGGCTGAGGATTTTATATATATAAGACCCCCCTTTTTTTTTTAACAGCAATTTTAGGCTCAGCAAAATTGAGAGGGAGGTACAGAGATATCTCATATTCCCCCAGCCCCCACACATGCAAGGAGAATTAAAAATAAATTCATCAGTAGCTTTATTTTAGTGGGGTTTTTTTTTTTTGATATAATTCAATAGGGTTAAAAATTTACCCCTTTGAAGTATGTAATTCAATGTTAGTATATTCACAAAGCCTGATACTTTTTTTAAAAAAAAATGCTATTGTGTATATTTAAGGTGTACCATATGATGTTATGGGATACATATAGATAGTGAAAAGGTTACTATAGTAAAACAAATTAACATACCCATCATCTCACAAAGCTACTGCCCCCCCTTTTTTTATTTTGTACCAAGAGCAGCTAAAATCTCATTTAACATGAATCCCATGTATACAGTACAATTTTATTGCATGTCCTCGTGTTTTACATTTGATCTCTAGACTTATTCATTCTACATATCTGCTACATCGCATCCTTTTACCTGTATCTCCCTATTTCCTCCGACTTCATCCCCATTCCACCCCAATAACCACTTTTTTGTTCTCTATGTCTGTATATTTGATTTTTTTTAAAGATTCTACTTATAAAGTGATGTCACGTAATATTTTTTTTCCTGTGTTTGGCTTATTTCACTTAGCATAATGTCCTCCAGACTCATTCATGTTTTGGCAAATGGCGGGATCTACTTTTTAAAGGCTGAATAATATTCCATCGTATATCAGTACATGAACCACAGTTTCTTTATCCATTTGTCTGTCAGTGGACATTTAGGTTGAGGTTGTTTCCATATCTGGCTATCGTGAATAATCCTGCAGTGAACATGGAGGTAGAGTATATCTTTAGGAGGCAGTGATTTCATTTCCTTTGGGTATATGCTAGGTCATATGGTAGATCTATTTTTAATTTCATTAGAAACCTCATACTGTTTTCCATAATGACTCTACCAATCTACATTTCTACCAACAGTGTACAAGAGTTCCCTTTTCTCACATACACACCAACATTTGTTATCTTTTAACTTTTTGATAAAAGTCATTCTGACAGGTGTAAGGTAGTATCTCATAATGGTTTTGATTTACATTTCTCTGATGATTAAAGCCGATACTTTTTTTTTTTTTTTTGAGACAGAGTCTCGCTGTGTTGCCCTGGCTAGAGTGAGTGCCACGGCGTCGGCCTAGCTCACAGCAACCTCAAACTCCTGGGCTCAAGCGATCCTCTTGCCTCAGCCTCCCGAGTAGCTGGGACTACAGGCATGCGCCACCATGCCTGGCTAATTTTTTCTATATATTTTTAGTTGTCCAGTTAATTTCTTTCTAATTTTTAGTAGAGACGGGGTCTTGCTGTTGCTCATGAGCTCAAACAATCCACCCGCCTCGGCCTCCCAGAGAGCTAGGATTACAGGCGTGAGCCACCGCGCCTGGCCTAAAGCCGATACTTTTAAGGAAACATTTTTTCATTTCTTAGCTGTAAGTTTTTGCTTTTGCCTATGTGATCACTACTTCCTGTCTTCTCCTCTTGCATTCTCTTAAATTTTATTGTTTTTTATTCAGGTCTAATGTCATGTCTTTTTGGAAGGCTTTTTTTTTTAATAGGATGGGTATTGCTTTGTTGTGAAGGGTGGAGTGCAGTAGTGCAGTCATAGCTCACTGCAGCCTCAAACTCCTGGGCTCAAGTGATCCTCCTGCCTCAGCCTCCCAAGTAGCTGGGACTATAGGTGTGCGCTACCATGCCCGGCTAATTTTTCTGTTTCTTTGTAGAGATGGGGTCTTGTTATTGCCTAGGCTGGTCTCAAACTTCTGGCCTCAAATGATCCTCCCGCCTCGGCCTTCCAAAGTGCTAGGATTATGGGCGTGAGCCACTGCACCTGGCGGGGAAGGCTTTTTGATTCCTCATACACTGAGTTGCCCTCTCAGCTCTAAGCTCCCACAGACCTTTGTTTATCCCTTTATTATATTGCTTATTACAATTATATTGTAATTGTCTCTTTAGTTGTTTGTCTTCCATTTCAGACCATTTATCTCTAAAGAACACGGTTCTTATATTTCACTATCCTCAGGACATAGAACAATGCCTGGAATGGACAGCTTTTTGGTACATATTTTTTTATTGATTATAGCCACAAATATTTCTTCCTGCCCCTAAGTCTTAGACATAAACCAGGAGCTTGGTACACTATATTCAGTGGTGAATATTAAAATAATGTGCTTTTTCTTGCTGGGAATCTATCATTTTAGTGTTGGAAGGCACCTGAAATATTATCTAGTCCATTCTTCCCCATTTTACACTCATACACATTCATATTCATGCAGGCACACAAAACATTGAAATCCATAAAGGTCAAATGACTTAGTGGTAAAGTTAGGACTTAAAATCATGTCTAGCTTATTACACTGGTAACCCAGCACTTTGGGAGGCCGAGGTGGGAGGATCAGTTGAGGCCAGGAGTTTAAGACCAGCTTAGACAACATGGTGAGACCCTATCTCTACAAAAAAATTTTTTTAAATTAATGGGACATGGTAGTGTGCACCTGTAGTCCTAGCTACCCACAAGGCTGAGGCAGGAGGATCACTTGAGCCCAGGTATTCAAAGTTGCAGTTAGCTATACTCACGCCACTGCACTCTAGGCTGCACAACAGAGAACCTGCTTCTAAAAAAGAGAAAAAATACATATTCCTCATTTTTTTCCCTGTACTATTTTCTCATACACCTTATAGTCTTCTTTGAAAACTTACAATGAAAATTTGTTTCCTGAAGTTTAGAGGAAGGACCTTGAAAATATTAATTTAATTCATAATATTATCTTTCCACTTTTAACTGTAAGTAAGGAACCTGTTGCCAACTAGAATACAAATTGAGCATCACAAATCTGAAAATGTGAAATCCAAAGTGGTCCAGAATCGAAAACATTTTTAGTACCAACATGATGCTCAAAGGAAATGCTCATTGGAGCATTTCGGATTTCAGATTTTCAAATTTGGGATGCTAAAGCAGTCAATATCACAAAAAGAATCTGAAATTCAAAACACTTCTCATTCTAAGCATTGCAGATAAGGTATACTTAACCTGCACTGGAGGAGAAATTTTAAACTGTTTTAAACAATGGCAGTATTTTTCTATTTTATAGACCTCCGTGAGTGAAAGTCTTCAGAGGGAAGCTGCTAAGAAACAGGCCATGAAACAGGTAAGGTGGAAGAGTGAGATAAGTGCATTTAGTGAAGTGTGGGTTTGGGCTCACATTTTTAATTATTAATTTTGATATCTAGGGGCTGAGACTAAACAGAGTAGATGTGTATAATGAAATAATTTTATCTTGACCCTTGCTTTTTAAAAAATGTGTAAGAACGTTTCTTGATTTATACAGATTGCAGGTTTCCTGTATAAAGTTTAAAGACAAAACACAATGAAGAATTAACTCTTTATTGCTGTGCTATAGATTAAACCGGTTCTGCATTCAGATGACTCAGCAGTCTGATAATGGATTGGTGGGCTTATTATTATTTGTTTCTTATTAAATTCCTGCTAGTGAGCTTACTTGCCCAAAAAAGATCTATTGACAACCAAAGTGATTTCATAATTTTATAATTATTTGAAATTCATCTACCAAGAAAGGGGAACAGTAGGTAATTTTTAATAGACTTGTTAACACCTTAGTGTTCCTAAGCACTTTTTACATATATATATTCATGTTTTAAAATTCCTCACAAATTTGTCCAAGTTCTTGATTAAGAAATCTGAAACTCAAAAAGGATAAATTGCCCCTTTATTATGATCACACAACCAATTGTAGAACTGGGCCCGAAGGTTTGCTGTGTTTTCTACTTCTACATATCAAGTATCTTTGATTTTGCTGCTGTACAACATAATGAAATTAAACAGTGGCAACGTATCTTTCATTTCCATTTTAATTCTTTATCTTCCACATTTTCCTTATAATTTTTGGTCCTATTTCCCCCTTGTCCAACTAGAAACCTGCTTAAGGGTAAGTTTATTAAGCACTTTCTACAGGCCAGATGTTATTACAACTACTTTTAAAGAATTATCTGTAATTCTTACAATAATTCTGTGCGATAGATGCTCTTATAATCCTCGTTTTACAGCTGAGGAAATGAGGGTGAGAAGAATTTATGTGACTTGCATGAGGTCACATACTTAGTAAATGGTAGAGTTGTGTCCAGACCTAGGCAATGAAGTTGTCTCCGGGGGTGGGGAACCTGCGGCCTCAAGGCCACACATGGCCCTCCAGATCCCCAAATGTGACCCCTTGACCTAATCCAAACTTCACAGAACAAATCCCTTTATTCAGTCAAAAGGCCACACTCAAGCTTTTTTTTTTTTTGAGACAGAGTCTTGCTCTGTGGCCTGGGCTAGAGTGCTGTGGCATCAGCCTAGCTCACAGCAACCTCAAATTCCTGGGCTCAAGCAATCTTCCTGCCTCGCCTCCCAAATAGCCGAGACTACAGGCTCATGCCACCACACTTGGCTAATTTTTTTCTATTTTTAGTAGAGACAGGGTCTCACTCTTGCTCAGGCTGGTCTTGAACTCATGAAGTGATTCTCCCCGCCTCGGCCTCCTAGAGTGCTAGGATTACAGGCGTGAGCCACCACACCCGAGCCCAGCCCGCACTCAAGCTTTTAACCACTGTGTTTTACTGCCTCCCTGGGGAATTGGCACAGCAGCATGTATTTAGTTAGTTTTCATAGTGGGATGTAATGTGTAACTCAGTACCCTAGGAATGATTTAATACACACATAAAAACATAAAAAACAGTGATTCTTTAACATAAATACTGAAGTGCTTTGAGTCAGAATTTTAGAGATCAGTAGAATTTTAGAGCGACCATTAAGTTCAACTTCTTTACCATCTAAATGAGAGACCTCTGGAGAGTCAGATGACTTCTCCAAGGTCATGAAGGTATCTTGTTTGCTAATGTTCTTTTGACGTTTTTGTGCTACCTGTTGTTCTTCATTTAAAGCATAAATCCCAAATCTGTTTTTTAATTTTAACTCTAATCATTTGTCATGGGATTACCATGACAAATAATCTAATTTTATTCTTAACTCTGGCTTGTTCAAAGCCACTTCATCTGTTTAGTGGGAGTTTTTCATCATTTGCTTGAAAATTGGGAATGCTGTCATAACTCTTATACCTTTCACCTGCCTGCTGCTGCTTTTTCCTCCCACCTGTATTACCTGCTCTTTACCTTGTTCCTCACTTGGTTGATTCAGTTCTTGTCTTCTGCTTTAATCCCAATCTGTTATCACAGAGAGTGCTAGTTTGACTGCATTTACTAAATCTGAGAGAAAATACTCTTAGAAATGGGATACTTTATTAATAGTCACACTATTATTTCTTTTTCTTCCTTTTCATCTTTTATTTGGACCTCAACTACACAGAACCGATGATGGCAACATTATTATTTCCTATTTCATTGGAGAAAACTAACTACGTCATCATTAAAATAACATATGCTGTAGGTCTCTGGTAGATATTCGTTGTTAATCTAAGAAACTTTTTTTCTGTTCTTAGTTTGAGGTTTTGTTGTTATTTATTTGTTTATTTTTTAAAATTGTGACCTATGTGAAAAGGGTAATGTTTCATGGCCATGTTAGATTCACACCAATAATGTAAGGTCAGCTTAACATGAGAAAACCAATCATTATATGTGGTATAAACCCAACATAAGCATAAAATATTACCCTTTTTATATGATGTTGCATTTGGTTTACTAAAATTTCATTACGGGTTTTTGTGTAAGTGTTGGGGATTTTTGCATCAGAAGTAAAGATTGGCCTGTAATTTTCCTTTTCTTTCACTATAATTATCCAGATTAAAAGAAAATTAAGTCTGATAATACCAAGGTTTGGTGAGTCTTATAAAATGAGCTAATAATATATACATTTTAAGTTTGTTTCTACCTTGTTAATTTCTGTCCTGACGAATTAGTTTTCTTCATTCTCCTTTGAGTTTTTCTGACTTTTTGAAGTAGTTTCATAGCTCTCTGTTTTTCTTTTTTTTTTTTTATTTAAGCATATTATGAGGTTACAGATGTTTAGGTTACGTGTGTTGCCCTTACCCCGCCCCCACCCCGCCCCAGCTCTCTGTTTTTCAATCCTTTCTCTTTTCTAATATATTTAATATATGTATCTAAAGCTGTCATTTCCCTCTAATCACTGCTGTAGCTGTGTCTCACAAATTTTGATAGGCAGTATTTTTGTTATTCCATTCAAAATATTTTCTAATTTGCATTATGATTTCTTGTTTGACCCATGTATTATTTAGAAGTATATAACTTAATTTCTAAACATGTGGAGGTTTTTGGTTACCTTTTTGTTACTGATTTCTAACATGATTTAAAGACCTTGCATTGTATTGTTTCTTTCCTTTAATGTATTGAGGTTTACTTTATGGTCTAGTATATAGTCAGTTTTTATAAATATTCCCTCCATGCTTAAAAATGCTCTATATGGGCCGGGCGCAGTGGCTCACGCCTGTAATCCTAGGTCTCTGGGAGGCCGAGGCCGGCAGATTGTTTGAGCTCAGGAGTTTGAAACCAGCCTGAGCAAGAGCGAGACCCCGTCTCTACTAAAAATAGAAAGAAATTAATCGGACAACTAAAAATATATAGAAAAAATTAGCCGGGCATGGTGGCACATGCCTGTAGTCCCAGCTACTCGGGAGGCTGAGGCAGAAGGATTGCTTGAGCCCAGGAATTCGAGGTTGCTGTGAGCTAGGCTGACGCCATGGCACTCACTCTAGCCTGGGCAAAAGAGTGAGACTCTGTCTCAAAAAAAAAAAAAAAAATGCTCTGTATGTGTCCAGTAGGCCAGTTGTGTTAATCTGTCTGTCTGTCTATATATATTCATATTGATTTGTCTGTTCTATTATTGAGAGACGTATGTTAAAATCTCCCAGTATAATTGTAGGTTTATCTATTTTCCCTTAGATTTCTGTTCGGTTTTTGCTTTATAAGTGTTGAGACATAGTTAACAATAACATATCTACCCAAGTGCTCACCTGCATCTCTCCTCTCTGCATATACAAAGACATGTCATCAGTTTAAAGCAGCCCTCAGTCTCCTTTTTCCCTCGCTTTTTGTTATGGTGGTGGTTATTATTTCTTAGATTCCATGTTTTGGGGAGGGAGCAGCAGTGCCAATTCACCATCTAGGCAGGAGAATCGTTGGTTTTCTAAAGATTGAAAAGTGGAGAAAAAAATGTGAATTTCTTAATATTTTAAACAGTATTCCAGAAAAAGTGTTTTTCATTTAGCATGTGATGTTGATACATAAAAACCTGAGAATATCAAGTAGATTCTTTTGAATAATTGTTGTATCACCCTGTCACTTAAAAAGGATCCCTCTTGTGTTCCACATTGCACTAGGCAATGTAGCAATTCAGGAAAAAGTTAAAATGTGAAAACTCTGTATCTCACAAACTTACAAGCTGAGGTAAGATGCTAAGATTTGTGAAATGATTATAAAGTAGTAACATCAAATGTATTATTAAGAGTTAAATATTGCAGATTAGACTCTTCAGAGAAGAAAGAGATCACTGGAGGTTAAAGTCCTCAGAAATGGCCTCATTTCTAGCACTCCCGGAGGCCAGGATGGGAGGATCGCTTGTGCTCAGGAGTTTGAGACCAGCCTGAGCAAGAGCGAGACCCCGCCTCTACTAAAAATAGAAAAAATTAACCAGGAGACTAAAAATAGAAAAAAAAAATTAGCCAGGTGTGGTGGCATGTCCCTATATTCCCCTACTCAGGAGGCTGAGGCAGGAGGATCACTTGAGCCCAAGAGTTTGAGGTTGCTGTGAGCTAGGCTGATGCCACGGCACTCTAGTCTGGGCAATAGAGCGAGACTGTCTCAAAAAAAGAAGAAAGAAAGAAAAGAAACGGCCTCATTTAAGATGTAAGGGGTTGAACTGGCCCTGAAACTTGGGTAAGATTTTAGTGGTCTGAAAGAGGAAGAAAAATATTTAAGATAGAAGAAGGAAGCTAACAAAGGCAGAGACTTTATATGACTGAAATTACAAAAACACACTATTAATTACAAAATATTCCTATTTTTATACTATGTTGGGAACTTTTCATAAAGTATTTCCTACCATTATACATTTGCAAACTAAACATTTGGCTCCTCAACTTACTAGAAATGATGTGAAAGTTTAATATATAATGTAGGCATCTCAAAACCAGGGTTAGATGTTTCTCTGTCATACTTTGGACCTCTTGACCTTTTGATGTGTATAATTATATTTATATACAAATAAATAGATGATAATAGTTAATGTTTATTGAACACTATTCTCTGTCAGACTCTAAGTGCTTTAAGTTTAAGTCATTTAATTATCACAGCAGCTTGGAAGGTCGATATAATTATTATTTATTATTATCAATTTTTTAGATGAGGAAAATTACAGCACAGAAAGATTAAACAAACCTGCCCAAAGTAATTAGTGTAGAGCCAGGATTCAAACCCAGGCAGCCTGGTTCCAGAATTTACATTCATATTTTGTATCTAAAATGTGACCGATAAAATTTTTATGATATGTTTCCAATTTTATGAATCTTTCTCAAAAAAAAAAAAAATGCATAGACTTTTTGTGGTGTATATATTGGCTGGCTCATATTTCTGAAACATGTTTAATTTTTTTTTTTTAAGACCAAACTGGAAATCCAGAAGGCCCTTGCAGAAGATTCCACTGTGTATGAATATGACAGCATTTATGATGAAATGCAGAAAAAAAAGGAGGAAAGTAATCCCAAATTGCTTTTGGGGAAAGATCGAAAGGTTTGTTTGTAGCTATAATACAAACTTTCTTTGACCTTGATCTGCATTTTGTATCTTATTTTAACATGAGGATGGTCTGAGATAAAGCTCTTAGGTATTTGATATTAGTAGTTGCAGAAATTTTGTTTTTTGCTTCGGAAACTTTACAAATAATTTTTTGAAAATTTTTCCTTAGAAATTCTGTGTACCAAATTTGTACAGCTCTTGCCCTGTTCATGTTTAATTATCCTCTTATTTTTTATTGCTTTCTAGCTAGTAACTGAATCATCTGCCTGCACATATCATGGTCAGATTTTAAGTTTGAAAAAAACTGATAGAGAAAAAACTGAAATAAAGTCTAATTTTCTTTCTGTCACTCTGTTCCTTCACAAGCACAGACTGATTTTTAAGAATCTTTGCATTTTACAGTATCTAGAGTAATGGTGTAAAATTATATTAAAGCTACTATTTTAAATAATCTCTTTCCACTAAATGTGAAAAACTAGTAGGAAATTTTCTTACTCATTTATTTGTCGAATTAAAAGAATACCAGAAAAAAGGGTGATGAAAACACTGGAAAAATTTTTTTGTTTAGTTTGAGATTTTTAAGAAAAAGTAAAATAGCATTATAAATAATTTCTGTCTCTGGTATACTTAAATTTTTATTGAAAACAATTTCAATATTAATTTTGCCAGTGAATTTGTATTAAATTTTGAGAGGAAGAGAATCCTATTTGGGCTAATCATTTCTATCTTAATGAGTTCATGATAAAAATTATAACAGTATTAACATTGTTATAAGTTATTATTTTTGACTCTTTTCTAAGTAATCTTATTTTTTTTCCCTTAGCCCAAGTACATTCACAACTTACTAAAAGCAGTTGAAATTAGAAAAAAGGAACAGGAAAAAAGAATGGAAAAGAAAATACAGAGAGAACGAGAAATGGAAAAGGGAGAATTTGATGATAAAGAGGCATTTGTGACGTCTGCTTATAAGAAAAAACTGCAAGAGAGAGCTGAAGAGGAAGAAAGAGAAAAGAGGGCTGCTGCTCTGGAAGGTAAAATGGAAGAGGGGGAAAGGTAGAAGGAATCAGAGCAGCAGAATCTCTACCCTGTGGTTAGCTGTTTCTGCTGTCACTGAACTTTTGGGTTATAATGTTGTGATCACAATTTCTGCGTAAGAATACAAGATACAATGCTGGGCACTGTGGCTCACACCCATAATCCCAGTACTTTGGAAGGCCGAGGTAGGAGGATTGTTTGAGGCCAAGAATTCGAGACCAACCTGGGCAACATAGTGAGACAGCTGTCTCTCCAAAAAAATTTAAAAATTAACCAGGTGTGGTGGTGCATGCCAGTAGTCTTAGCTGTTCAGGTTGCTGAGGCAGTAGGATGGCTTGAACCTAGGAGTTCAAGGCTCTAGTGAGCTATGATTGAGCTACTGCACTCCCACCTGCTTGACAGAGTGAGACTCTGTCTCTAAAAAATACTTTTTTTCAATTAAAAAGGGAAACAAGATATATGGTATTAAATAGTAGTATAAAACAGAGAGGAAAATTTTCTTTTCTTCTTCTTTTTTTTTTAGCGCTCCCACTTCCCCCACAGAGAGGAAATTTTAACTAAAACCACAGTTGAACTCTTCTTCAGTAACTGTTATTTCTATTAGATTTTTCTCTTAGTTCTCATTTTGTTGCTTAAAACTGCAATCATTATAAGTCATTGCCTTAGAATGTGATTTCAAATGTAAAAGCATTTGTTACAAAGTATAACAAGCCCGCTGCAGTGGTGCACCTGTAGTCCCATCTACTTGGGAGGCTGAGATGGGAGGATCACTTGAGCCCAGGAGTTCGAGGCTGCAGTGAGCTATGGTCAAGGCACTGCATTCCAGCCTGGGTGACAGAGCAAGACTCTGTCTCTGAAAAAATTTTAAAAAGGTATAACACCGTAACATTTGTCAGAAACAATATAAATACAACTTAAAACCCTAGTTATGTTTTCTGGAATGAGAAAGTTTAGAGTAACACCACTCAAGGAGCATTAAGTAGGCAAATAGAAAAAGAATAATTGAAGAAAAAACAAAGATATGTGGAGGTTAAAGAATATCTTAGTGCTTTACTTTAGTGCTTTCTACTCATTATCATTCCTTAAGATCTAAGTAGAATGTGTACTTATAAATAATTTAGTTGGGCAGTGTTCATCAACTTTTAAGTAGAAGAAAACCAAAGAAAACCAAATATATAAGATTCTAAGCACGTACAATGTGTTCATCTAGAGCACCAGTCAGCAAACTTTCTGGGAAGGACTAGATAGTAAATATTTTAGGTTTTTAGACATACAGTCTCTGTTGCAACTACTCAACTGTGCCTCTGTAGTGCAAAAATAGTTATGTACAATACGTAAATGAGCAGGGGCTGTGTTCCAATAAAAATTTATTTACAGAAACAGCAGGCCAAATTTGGCCTGGAGGCCACAGTTTGCCAATTGCTAATCTAGAGCATAGTTTATACACTGTGTATGTTTCTATACTCTACACCTGTAAAACAACTGCATTGTGCCTTGTTTAATATATTCTACTCATTTTTGCTTTCCCTCTCAGCATGTTTGGATGTAACGAAGCAGAAAGATCTCAGTGGATTTTATAGGCACCTATTAAATCAAGCAGTTGGTGAAGAGGAAGTACCTAAGTGCAGTTTTCGTGAAGCCAGGTGAGAGGCGCCATACGGAATATTTAGAAGAAAGTTACTGTTAATAATCTGTGGTTGTAGGGTCATTTTAACCCTCTGAAAGATGGAGGATTATAGCATTGCATGTTGTGTTGTCAGCCACTGTAACGTATTTAATAATTGAATGAATGACTAGGAATTTGCAGTTTCTTAATTTAAAAACCTAAAGTTTTAGTTCAAGATTATTTCTATTCTCCAGGTCACAAAAATTGTTATGATTTGTGTCAAGACATTCTCAGTGATTTAGTTTAATATTATCATAAATATTAGTGTGCTTTATGGGTCTTACGAGTGACCTTCAAGGGGGAACAAAACCGAATGGTGTGTTTTTGTTTTGTTTTTTGTTTTTTAAACTAAAAGTATAGGTATCCCTGCTGGCTCTGGTTCCTTAAAATGATTGCTGTCAAAATTAAGGAGAAATTTGGAAAGAATCAGATGTCTACAACATAAATCTTTAATGCATGTTCAGTTAGTATATAAAAAAGAAAGTGGTTTATTTTCATAATAACACCCAGCTTTCATAAAACGTAGGAGTCGCATATCAGGAGCTAGAACTGCATTGTCCAATATGTAGCCACTAGTCACACATAGCTTTTAAATTAACTAAAAGTAAATAAAATATAAAATTTTAGTTACAATGGTCACATTTCATGTACTCAATTGCCATATTTGGGCAGTGGCTGCCTTACTGTACAGCTCAGATATGGACATTACCATTTCTATTAAACAGTGTTGGTTTAGGAAATAAAGGATTGGAGGATTTTTTAATAAAATTATAAGGTATTACAGGAATGGCGAGATGATTATGCCTAAGTATATAGCTGAAGGTAAAGGGAAAGTTTACCCTAAACCTGTATCTAAGCCAACTTTTTTTTTTTAACGGAAACATTCTGATTAGAAGATCTGAGTCTGTGGTGCTGGGGAAAGGGGAGAAGGTGGGAGAATGTAATTAAGGGTAAAGACAGGAAATTAAGTTTATGTCCCACTCCTCCCCACACTGCTAGGTTTTTATTACAAAATTGATGAGAAGTACGAGCCTAAGAAAGTGTATTTGAAGATTCATCTTTTGAATGGAAATGACAGTACATTATGTCTTTCTATTAGAGTTCCAAACACCATGATGTCATTTACGTAGTTATACTTCTCAAGAGTCTATTAATTGAATTCCTAACCATTGGGTCCTTTAGCCAAGGTAGTTTTGTCAGCATTTCCTAGAGAACCAAAGTTGTTGCCCTATTAGTTAGAATGAATGTATGCGTAGTATAAATAAGTTAACCACACTTATCAGCTGGAAAAATGTAGATGATACAGAAAATTTTAGTGTTGATTCTAACAGCTGGACAAATTCACATATTTCCATTTTGTTGTGATAGGTGCCAAGGGGGTGTATCCAGATGCTGGTACCTTTTTAATCATGAGAGAGACGGATATTTAGAATTAGATTTGCCACTATTTTGCTATGAAAAACATATCTTCATGTACTTCTAGGACAATTTTTTATAATTTTTTTAAAAGAAAAAAAATACAGTAGTCACAATTTCAACTTCATGTTGTGAAAATAGAACGTGGATCCAGAACTTATCTTATTTTTCTGAATTATTCTTTGTCCAGGCTTAACAAAAAATAAAGACCTTGTACAGACCCCTACCCGAACGTTATAGTAGTTAAGTAGAGAAGGACTAATTTTCTCTATTTCACTTCTATAAATATTGAGAATATTTGAAAATGCTAGTTTTCATAAACATTAGCACCTTTTTGCATTTGGATAATCAGACAATGTATATAATTATAGTTCTGTTGATTTAAGTATTGAGAAAAATTATGTAAACACTTCATTTGCTTACTGTAATTGATATTGTGGCATTTTGTGTTTATATTATTTTTTTAAAAGGTCCGGGATAAAGGAAGAGAAATCGAGGTGTTACTCCAATGAAGTAAGTTCAGAGAACAGAATACCACAGGAGAAATGTGTTCTCCAAACTGGTGTGAAAGTAGAGGAAAACCCCGATGCAGACAGCGACTTTGATGCTAAGAGCAGTGAAGATGATGAAATGGAAGAAACTAAAGTGAACTGTAGAAGGGAAAAGGTCACAGAGACTTCTGAGGACTCCAAGCATCACAGGACACAAACCCACTCACGGTCGTCTAGTGAAGAAAGAGGGCATGGTGCCAGACACCACACAAAAGGTTCCAAGTCAAGAGGACACGAGAAAAGGGAAGATCAGCACCAAGAGAGACAGTCCAGAGACGAACAGAACCATTACACTGACCGGGATTACCGGAAAGAAAAGGATTCTCATAGGCACAGAGAGGCCAGTCATAGAGATTCCCACTGGAGGAGGCATGAACAAGAAGATAAACTGAGGGCAAGGGACCAAAGAGAAAGAAGTGACAGAGAACGGAAAAGGGAGAAAGATAGGGAGAAATATTCCCCAAGAGAACAAGAAAGAGAGAGACAACGAAATGCTTATAACCGACACAGTGAGAAAGGAGAGAAGGAAGAGAAAAACAAAGAAAAGGAAGAACATATGAAAGTAAGGAATGAAAGATATGAAAATAATGATAAATATAGAGATAGAGAAAAACAAGAAGTAATTGTTCAATCTTCAGAAAGAAATCGAGACAGAAAAAAAAGCAGCCCGAATTCTAGGACAAAGGATAAATTTCTTGACCAGGAAAGATCCAGCAAAATGAGAAACATAGAAAAGGACAAAGAAAGAAACCAAGAGAACCCCTCTAGTTCTGAAACATCACTGGGAGCAAAACACAGACTCACAGAGGAAAGGCAAGACAAGGAACAAGAGAGACCACTCGAGGCAGTGAGCAAGTTTGCAAAGCGAAACAACAAAGAAACTGTAATGTCAGCTAGAGACAGATACTTGGCCAGGCAAATGGCACGGGTTAATGCAAAGACATACATTGAAAAAGAAGATGATTGAGGGCTGCCCCAGTAAAAAGATCTCTGGAAGCACAGAAAACTGACTCCTGCAACTCGCTGTGTGAAAGCATAAAGGGAGTGTAACAATAGTGGTTGGGAGAGTGTTTTTATATATATTTCTGAAATCAAAAGTCTTTTATCTTGAATGTTTGGCTGAATTTGTATATAATATTTACTTATCAATAACACATTCTTGGTTGTATTCAAGAATCATGAGTGTGCTAAATCCCTGTAGGTACTCACTGAGGAAAATTGGCTCCACTACAACCATTAAAAAATAATTTAAACAACTCTTCTGATAATGTTGGTTTTGTTGTAAGGAGCTATTTTGTTTTATAAATATTGTATTTCAGATAAAAATATGTATATTTGAACAATAAAGTAGGGAATATTGTTATATTTTATGTTCTGAAATTTGTATTAAGCTGTAAAATATGGATCATACATATTGTCTAAATAACTTTTAGCCCACAGCATAGTGGCTTAAATGAAAATAAAAATAGTGATATGCTTATACATATAATTCATGCTTTTATTTTTAAAAATTTGACTCATTTATGTCACAATTTGTCTTTGTTTTTTAGTAAAAAAAAAAAATCACTAATTTGTAATTCTGAAATCTTGGCAAGTTAGTAAATTGACTATGTAGGCAAATCACTTTTAGCTAAGGGTGAAAAGATGGAGACATTTAGCCTAAATGAAATTAGCTAAGCCTCTAGGTGGCCTATTTCTGAACATGTCTTATTTTACCCACTCTGAAAAATATAATACAGTTTATTCCAGGTTCCATTCATGTATCAAAACTAGTATTTCTTTACTAAGTCTTTGAACCTTACCATTTGAAATTATATACTGTAAATAATTTATGGGGAAAAAATGAATGTTGTGGAGAAAATAGTTCTCTTAACTGGTCTTCCCATTAAGAAAATACTATTTATAGCTCTCACGATTCTTTATTATAAAGAGCTTCCACATTTTCTTATTTTTAGGTAGAAGGATAAACTTAGTTTAATAAGAATGTCGACTTCTTAGGGAAGGGAGGGACTGGGCCAGGGCAGATTTCTGTTTCCCTTGGCTCTGGCCCAGCAGAGCCTAAGTGCTGTGCTATCCTGGAGGGGCTTTGGACCAGCAGAAAGAGCAAGGGCATGGGGAGGAGGAGTTGGCACCCATCAGCAATAAAGTTGATTCGGGGAGTGGGGGGAGCTAAGAATGTTGACTTATAGATGAAAAACACTGTATGTTAAGGGTCAGATATAGCCTTCTTAAATCATTTTATTCTACCTTTAAAACCAGAAAGGAAAAGTAACAGTTAATGCCCAGATCTGACTGACACATTAAATCTCAATTACATCCTAATACTTAAAAGTCATTCAGTGACAAACTCTAAAAATCACTGACTTAGTTTACACAGGGGGAGCAACATAAGGTAAGTATGGAAAGGTAAGTTAGAGTGAAATCACGGAAGACCATGAGTGACAGACTAAAAATCTTCAGCTTTAGTAGGGAGTATGGTTCCTTTGTTAGGATTGTTTTTAAACTAGGCTGTGCACTGGGAAGATTAATTTGATCATGGTGTGCAAGGTAGGAGGGAGTGATATGAGAAAGATCTGATAAACTGTGGACTGTACTTCTATCTCTTAGGCTAGTTTAAATTGGGTTTCTGCCACCGCAACCAAAACAGCCCTATTTGATATAAAGTTCCACTTAATGATAGCTACATACCAAAAAGGTTATCAGAACACTTTTTTTGAGACAGAGTCTCGCTCTGTTGCCCGGGCTAGAGTGCTGTGGCATCAGCCTAGCTCACTGCAACCTCAAACTCCTGGGCTCAAGCGATCCTACTGCCTCAGCCTCCCGAGTAGCTGGGACTACAGGCACACGCCACCATGCCTGGCTAATTTTTTCTATTTTTAGTTGTTTGGCCAATTTCTATTTTTTTTTTTTTTTTTAGTAGAGACGGGATCTCGCTCTTGCTCAGGCTGGTCTCGAACTCCTGAGCTCAAACGATCCGCCCGCCTCAGCCTCCCAGAGTGCTAGGATTACAGGCGTGAGCCACTATGCCCGAGCTGTCTTTTTCTTCATGACCTATATGTTTATGTATTCTGGATATGAGTTGTTTGTCTTTGCAAGTAACTTTTTCTTCCCCTCTGTGGTTTTACCTTTTCATTCTCTTAATGATATGGTTTAATGAACAGAAATCTCTAATCCTTGTAAAGTTAATCAACATTAAATAAAAATTTGAAATGCATTTCTTCAGTTGTGCTAGACACATTTGTAGTGCTCAGCAGCACATGCTGCTAGTGACTACTGCATAGGACTGTACAGATTTATAGAGCATTTCTATTATTGCAGAAAGTAATACTGGTATGACAACACTTTTTTAGAAGCATTATTGTCGTCTTTTCATATTTAGATCTACAATGCATCTGGAATTAATTTTCCTGTGTGGTATAAGATAGGGATTAAGGGCCGGGCGTGGTGGCTCACGCCTGTAATCCTAGCAATCTGGGAGGCCGAGGCGGGTGGATTGTTTGAGCTCAGGAGTTCGTGACCAGCCTGAGCAAGAATGAGACCCCGTCTCTACTAAAAATAGAAATTATCTGAACTACTAAAAATATATATAGAAAAAATTAGCCGGGCACGGTGACGCGTGCCTGTAGTCCCAGCTACTCGGGAGGCTGAGGCAGGAGGATTGCTTGAGACCAGGAGTTTGAGGTTGCTGTGAACGAGGCTGACGCCACGGCAGTCACTCTAGCCCAGGCAACAGAGCGAGACTCTGTCTCAAAAAAAAAAAAAAAAGAGGAATTAAGGGGTTTTTTCCCATATGGATATCAAATAGATTTAGTGGATGAAAATTTGTTCAAATTTAAAACACAACGTATGCCATTACACATCTACGAGATGCCGAAAATGTTAGTGTTACAATACCAAATGATGAGGATGTAGAGCAACTGATTTGTGTGTGCTACTAGTGGTAGGTGAGTTGGGTGGTCTTTTTTTCTTTTTTTAGGAGGAGAGGGGTTCAGTTTCCTTTTTTTGAGACAGTCTCACTCTGTGGCCCCAGGTAGAGTGCAATGGCATCATGATAGTTCACTGCAATCTCCAACTCCCAGGCTCAAGTGATTCTCCTGCCTCAGCGTCCCAAGTAGCTGGGACGACAGGTGCACACCACGACGTCCGGCTAATTTTTTATATTGTTAGTAGTGATGGGGTCTCACTCTTGCTCAGGCTGGTCTTGAACTACTAAGCTCAAGCGATCCTCCTGCCTTGGCCTCCCAGAGTGCTAGGATTACAGGCATGAGCCAATGCACACTTCTGTATTAACGCAAGCGTTCCACAGATGCACCAGGAATATTCATAATATTCATCAAACTGGACATAACCTAAATGTCCATCAGTAAGAAAGGATATATGTACACACACATAGCAATGATTATTACAAAAATCAAGATAGCATTAGTGCCAGGTGTCCTGGCTCACAGCTGTAGTACTTGCACTTTGGGAGACCAAGACAGGAGAATCGCATGAGGCCAGGAGTTCAAGACCAGCTTTGGCAACATAGCAAGACCCTGTCTACAAAATAGAAAAGTTAGCTGGGTACAGTGGTGTGCTTCTTTAGTCCCAGCTACTCAGGAGGCTGAGGCAGGAAGATCGCTTGAGCCCAAGAGTTTGAGGTTGCGGTTAGCTATGGTGATGCCACTGCACTCTAGCCCCAGCAACAAAGTGAGAGACTCTATCTCAGTAGCATTAGTTTATGGAAGAGGTACACGTAGGGCTTCTAAATGCTGACAAGAGTCCGTTCTCGACCTGGATCGTGGTGACTTGTTTTTCTTTCAACTGTAAATATGTTTTATACATTGTTTTGTGTGTATGTCTAACAAAGGTTTTTGTAATCTTAAAAATTTAAATACCTGAGTTGGAGAAACTAAGGGTCATTATGGTTAATCTTAGTCATTTCTATAGGAAGAATCAATATAGACTGATGGTTAATCAAATGGCTTATTTGATAATGTATTATTTGGACCAACATGAGTAAAGGATTCATTAAATTTGTTGCTAGGTGTTATGTATTGTTTTAAATATGTGAGGTGAAAATAATGTACTTAAAGAAATTTTATGAATTGGTAAACATCTGTTCCGTGGACTCAATTTTCAATAAGATACAAATGACTCAGAAATCTCAGTTTTCCTCCCCCTCCCTTGTTCATGCTTACTCCAGTCATGCCAAATACACAGTGCTGTGCCACACTAACCATGCCTTCTCACCTACGGGATGCTTTGCCTCTATTTTAAAGGTGAGCCTCTCTTGATACCTCTCTTTTGCTTCAGCAACCCCTCCCTTTCCTTTGCATTGTGTGCTTAATACATGATAGTATGATGATGGTACGTCGGTTATTTGAGGGCAAAGATCCATCCAATCTTACGGTAGGCCCAGTGCCTAATACACTGCTGGCATGAGTGAAGGGTAAGAAGAGTTTTTACTTCATTGTTTTAACTTCACTTATATTAATATCCCTCAAGTATTTCTTTTTTTTTTTTTTTTTTTTTTTGAGACAGAGTCTCACTCTTTTGCCCGGGCTAGAGTGCCGTGGCGTCATCCTAGCTCACAGCAACCTCAAACTCCTGGGCTCAAGTGATCCTCCTGCCTCAGCCTCCCGAGTAGCTGGGACTACAGGCATGCACCACCATGCCCGGCTAATTTTTTCTGTATATTTTTAGTTGTCCGATTAATTTCTTTCTATTTTTAATAGAGACGGGGTCTTGCTCTTGCTCAGGCTGGTTTCGAACTCCTGGGCTCAAACAATCCACCCGCCTCGGCCTCCCAGAGAGCTAGGATTACAGGCGTGAGCCACGGCGCCCGGCCCCTCAAGTATTTCTTAAATCAGAATTTTAAAGCTAGAAAGACCTTAGAAATCGCTTAATGTCTGCAGTTTAAAATGTTTGTGAGGTCCTATGACATCATGTTTAAGAGCTGAGACATAGAAGTCTTGAAAGTTCACTACTTCCTGGCTGTATAACCTTGGACACATTATTTAACTTCCCTGAGCTTTAGTTTCTTCTTTAGTTTCCTCATCTGTAAAATGGAGATAATAGAAGTACCTCTTTCATAAGATTGGTATGGGGACTGCTTGAAACAGTGCATGCATCGCTGTGCCTGACATTGGCAAGCACGCAGCCATTGTGGTTATCTTGTTTATTATTACTTATGAGGAAATGGGCCAGTAAAGTTGAGTGACTTGCCCAAGGTTACTTCGCTTGCTAGTGGCTGAGAAAGGACTTGAGCCCTTGTCTTCTCAATCCTATTTGGTTGCTCTTTCCACAAGTATGGAAAAGTTTTTTGTTTTGGGCAATATGTATGACATTAATCATATTAGGATGGACAGAAACTAGGCCAGGCTAGTGACGTGGGATTTGATATATTTTCATGTATTCAGGAAACTGATGGCTGCGTGCCAGATGTGCTAGATTCTTACTGTCTTAGGAAGGTGTCTTAGTCCTTTTGTGCTGCTATAACAAAATACTTGAGACTGGGTAATTTATAAAGGGCAGAAATTTATTTCATCCTAGTAGAGGAAATGAAACTTAAGTTCACCTTCCTTTGGAAATTTCAAGATCCCAGGAAGAACAAAGAAATTAGGTTGGTCACCTGGTTTGTCTCTGCCTGTAATGTCATTATCTGAACTTTAAAATATTGTTCTATCATTGAAATTTTGAGACAGTTAAGCAATGAGAAAGAAAAAAGTGATGATACAGAAAGTAGGAAAAAAAGACTTAAAGCTTTGAAATATTCTTTCCATGGAACTAAACACAACGAATTCTATAAATATCATTGACTCATCTCTATATCGAAAAAATTCAGAAACCAGAGTATTTCAAGTAGACCAGAAAAACTTTCTGTAGTATGGGGATATTCCCTGTCTTGGCCTTTTTCCGTATTTGAATTTATAAATTTCATTCTTTAGCATGCTTCTCAAGGAAGCACTTTCTAAGCTCATCTTCCTAGTTGAGAGCCCTTCACAAAACTCTGCTTGTGTTTTAAAAGACAATGTGTGAGCTCTGTGATGACTTTAAAATATATTTATTTCCACTTAGCTTAGGACTGTTTTGCTTTTATTACATTATTTATGGGGATGACAGGCTGTGGCATAGTTTCTCTGAGGAACCTACTACTTCTCTTCACTACCCCTCCCTGACAGAAAAGACATAAAAAGTGGGAGTGGGGTGAGAAGTGCCCTACTGCTGTGTTTAATGAAGACAACCATCCGGGGCAATTCTGTTTTCTTAAGCACCAGGTGTTGATTTATGAGTAAAGAGACATGCTTGTACCATTGGGTAGCTAAGCCTTGTCTAACATGTGTAAGAACAGCACAGTTAAACCACTGCATTCCAGAGTGTTAAGATTTGTTTTGACAGTGAACTCCAATTACACAACAGATAAAACATATCAGGTCAGTCTTTCCTACTTGTCAGCAAGAATACGATTCTAATTCCTGGAGAATAATCTCCCTTTAAAGGGAAGGGGGTAGTCAAATGGAAATTCATATTTACACTTAAATTTTGAGATTGGTAGCACCCAATTAAAAAGCTTAGTAAAAAGAGGATGGCAAGGAAATGACATCTCAGAATAACTTTTTGCCTTATTTTGTGATTTCCTTATTTGACTTTTTATTATTTGATTTTGGAGCTATTGTATTGAGTCTGGATTTGTCAGTCTTTGCATCCATCTCCAGATGGGGCAGCCAGGGCAGTGAATTTGGGCTATAGGTTATATGCATTCCATCCAACAAGTGGAATGAGTTTTAAACACTTTGTAAGATTACAGTTGGGAGATGAATTCTTTGGACTTCATTGCCTATCAGTGTAGAAAATAACCTTTAATGATTGAATTGCCTCTGTGACTTTGTTTTGTGTCTTTCCTATTTCTTGGGTATTTCTTACTGATAAAATTATTAGAAAAAAATTAACTTCAGTCCCTAAATAATTTTACAATTCAATTCCATTTTTAGTTTTTACTTTTATGTAAGTGCTACATTAGATGTAAAGGGTCTTTAAAAGACTATTTTAAAATCCATCTACCTACTCTTAAATTTTCCTTAAAAAATCCATAGTAGTATTCATAAAGAGGGATCAAATAAATGTAAACTATGCAGAACAAGAATTTTGTATTTTTTTTCAGCTTAATTAAGTTTGAAAAGTTTGAAAGCTCCTGTATAATTTTATTAGTACCGGGCCTAGCAAAACTCTAATTCCATTTGAAAAAGTGCTTTTTAAAAAAGTTGCATCTTTGGACAATGTCTAAGTGCATGTGAGGTGGGGAGAATCCCTATCTAGATATCTTTACAAAGCAGGTTCTTAAAATTTGCAAAGCTATTGACCACTGAATACACTGGCACTAACATATTTCCTCTCTTTTCAGCATGGTAGAAAGCAAAGAGAAGGGAAATGAGGCAGCAGGAAGGAATGAAAGAGGAAGATAATGAGGGCAGGTCAGCAAAGGACATTTTTCATTCCCTTCTTTTCCTCTAACACCTTGGGAGACTTCTCAGCAGCTAACATCTACGTATAAGGAAAATATCTTGCTAGGAAAAGCAAAGAATCAGAAATAGCAGGGTGTAGGGAGAATCAGGAAGATGGCCAAGGAAGCCAAGGGAGGAAGATCCATAATTGGATAAAACCATTCCTCTGCTACATGGACCTTCTTTTTATAAGGTTGTTAGAATTAAATTCGATTTACATGGAGAACTGAAGTGATACACAAGGCCAGATGATTAAGTCCTTTTGTCACTGATAAGGCTTTATTCCCTTCAAGATTTTGATAAGGAAATCCCACACCACAAGGTAATATTTGCTTCTCTACCTGCATCTGAGAGTCACAAGCCACCAAAGGCCAAATTATCTCTATTAGGTGCTTTATGTGGAATGAAAGGTCATTCACTTAGCTGACCATTTCCCAAGCAACCTTACTAAGACTCAGACTTGAAAATTACCTGGGGGGGCTCACAATCAGGACCACTGGCAAGGGTCAAGGCAGAGGGGAAAGTCCATTTTAAGGCTAACCCAGACTCTAATTGCTCATGGATTGAGGATGCCTTTGGTTTAGGCTAGGGCGCCAGAGCTATATACCCTAAGGCTAAGTGAGAATGGGATTTACCCTCTCTTTACAAAGCAAAGTAACCAGAACTAACTCAGTCATTTGAAGTAGACAGAGCTTAAACCAGATGGCCAGCTGAACACTGAAGGTGCACGTGTCAAGATCCATCTTCAGAGTAGTTTATAGCCAAGCCACGGTGACTAACGAAATAGGCCAGATTTGCCTGTGGAACATTATCCTTAATGTTTAGCAGAAAGAGACAGGAAGACGGCAATGAAGTGCAGCAAATGCCAAAGGCTAGCCCATAAAGGAAGGTGTGTGGGCTAAAGTAGTGTCACAAGGAAAAGGTGGCAGAGCGTGTTGCAGGACTTGTAGCCCTCAAACAATAACATACATACACATTTGAGTGGGTAGAATTTGTTAATGTAAGAAAAATTAGAGGAAATTCATAGTTTGTAATGGGCCCAAAGTATTGGAGTAGAGATAAGAATACACTGAAACAACAATATATACACAGACACACATGCTCACATGTACACGTTATTTTTCAGTTTTAGCTTCTTACATCTTCCTTTCCTGACTCCACAGCAGCACACAGGTTAGAGGGTTCTAGTAGATTCCAGCTATAGAATTCTATGCTACTCAGAAAATATATGGCTAGCAAGACATCATCCCTGTTTTCTCCTACGTGGTTTATGCATTCACGAACAGTGAAACCTTTAGAAGCAAATAGATGTCAGATACCAAGAAATGATACAGGAGACTTTCACAGACTTGATTTTAAACCTACTCCTAACTGATGATAGGGTGGTTTTCATCACCTCCATACACACCCTCACACATCCAAAATAGGCCAATTCTGCTGCGGCGCAGTCTAACGTGGGAATACGTCCAGGAGATTTCATGGAAAGGAGTGGCTGGAGGCCATATGAGTTCGGGCGCCGTCGTTTCCTGGGACTGTGTGTCTGTGGAGAAGGCCCTTCCGTCGTCAGGCTTAGCTGGAAACTCATTCACTTAGAGGGGAGAGGCGAGGCGTGACTCGTCAGAACTGAAGGAAGAGGTCGTTGGAGCCTTTTGCCTCTCATGGAAGTGTGTTACACAACATTCAAGCGGATGTCCCCACAGGGAATTTCTGTTGGTGTTTCTGGAGTGATACTTTTAATAATGCGCTGTTGGGAAGAAAATACAATGTTATAAACATTCTTCATAAGTAATTTCATAAACTTGCAAAAATATTTCAACATTAATATTAAAACAAAGCTTAAATAGCATTTTAATAACATTTAATAGTTGGAATAGTGTCATTGATTTTCCTTAAGAAAGGAATTCTCTGTTTGTTCTCAAATATGGATAAAAATCATATATTCAGGAACTATAAGTACCTGTTAGCTAAGAAAATCATTATAACATTAATGCGAGAAAAGGATGAGCCTTCAGTAGAACCTCTGCTGTCCAAGGACGCGCCTTTGAATGACTTAGGAAAGGGTACCCTTTTCTCTGGAGAGGGGCGGCTTCTGCAGCCACACAGGGCTTGGGGAGCAAAGTGAGTGCTGGATTTGGGGCACCCCTGCCCTCAGCCAGGTGCCTTGTGCCATCAGCCACCGTAACAGCCAAGATGTTACTGATTTATCAGATCCACATGTAAGGCAGTACTGGTTAGTTCATACAAGAGTGCAAATTATCACATAATTAGATTTTAAAAGATGTAACCATTTACATTATCACTTCTAATACAATCTCATGTTGATGTAGTACTCAGAGAGGACAGTGAGAATTTCTACTATAGAAACAACTGAGGTACACAAAAGTGTTAAGATAGGTCTGAAATATGCTTGGGCTTGGGTATGAAATATACAACCTGTCTTGTAAAACTTAGCATCAGTGTGACATGAAGCAGCTCAGGGGTGCGGAGAAGGAAAAAACAGCAGCACTGCAGAGGCTTAGAAAAATCTTTATTAAGTTGCTTAGTAAAATTTTTGATGGCCAAAAGTCTGTATGTATGGTAAGCAGGCAAAATTGGATCTGAAAGCATCTTTTGATTTATTGATCTTTAGGTGTAGCTCTGCTACTATCCTTTTTATTTTGGATTGAAAAAATATAGAGTCCCCTTCAACCTTTTGTTTTCTGTTGTTCTTTAAGGAGCAGGGCCTATGGAGTTTGAAAAGTTCCAGTCCTATAGTTAACGAAACTCACAAAATTGTACATTTTGTGTTCCTTGTGACTTCAGTATCTGAGTACTGAACTCTCACACTAGGAATCCACCCAGAAAGGAGTTGTCGCAGTGCTCACCAGCTCCCAGGGCATGTCAAGTCACTGAATGCACAATTGCAGAAACCATCCATTCCCATAGATGAATGTGCAAGTTATAACTGATTAAACAGAATTATGCCTTGCTAATTGGGAGCTAGACAGAGATCACTATAACTAGTCTTAAGTGTAGCTGCGGTGTGCAGAGACAGAAGAGATCACCGAGGTGTATGGTGGGGGCTAGACCAGCAATGAACAGCATCATAAAGTAAAACACTTGGCTCTTGTGCCCTGACCTACCCACACTGGCTGCTCATGGCTCAAAATGCCAGGCCCACTTTGGTTTCCCATGTTTTGGCAGCATTCTAGTTGCCAGACTACTGTTATTCTCAAAATTTGCCAGGCCCTGGCCTTCTGTAAGATGATAACCAGTTAATCTAGGCAATGGATCACTGTTGATATCTTCATAACTATGTACCCATCAGGACTGTCTTCCAGTATCTTTGTGAAGGTTTTAGTAGTTTCTATGACAATGACCTAAGCCAGTGGATGCCTCCAACCTTGAGACTTCTAGGCTCCGGGGGCATGTGATATCCTCCAAATTATACCGGTAAGTGGTGGCTCACACCATAAACTCCCGCCTTGTTGCCAGGGTCCAAAAGAGTTAAGAACTTCACCTTTCTCTTAGCCTCTTTTTTTTTTTAACTAGACCAGAATTTTAGATAAGGCCTTCTCCACTCAAGGAATATTACAGATTATCAAGTCTGGTATTCACAAAGAACTATAAATAATTCTAGACCCTTGGGGTACTTGGCAAAAAACAAGGCATGCTTCATTTCCCTCAACAATTAAGCATGCATATGGGCAAATGAAAGTTTTTTGAGAAATCCTGTAGTAGAGAAACCCATTTAACTTGCCTTAATCTGGCATTCTCCAAAAATTATCTGATTACATAAACTTTTCCCCAGCAGTAGCACCTATTGAGATCACATGGAACTAGTGCTCCTCAAAACACACTTTGGGAATGTTAATACAGTCCAATGAGCATATTTTAAAGATGAGGAAACTGAGGCCCAGAGAAGATGAGTGACTTGCCATAGCTGACTAGGGCTTTTTTCTCAGTCCTCTGTGACAGGCTGTGTCATACTGCTCTCTGGTAACCCACAGCTTCCTATCTGATGACCTGTGATGAAGATGGCCCTACAATTAGTCTTACCTCTACTGCTAATGGATCTGAGCTGTGTTACTTCACACACCTTTGGTGGCATTCATTTGTGACCAACTGGGGGAATTTGCAAGAAAGATGACCACGATTTGAGGTGCAGTCTGCGACTAAAGAATACTGACATTTATTAACCTAAATAGTTCCCACCCCTGACCTTGGCCTTTGAGTTTGAAGCAACAGAGCGTCTGGATCATCACAACTGCCATAAAGGACAACCTGAGGGAATGAATTCAATGACTCTGGGCCTGAGAGTGTATTAGAGTATATTACAAACAATACCAGGGTATAAGGCTCTTTGGGAGGAATGAGGTCATGAAAGGACTGATTTGGGTGTAGGAAATTAGCAACTGCACAGTTCTGTTCACCTAGAATTCAGTTTTCCTGTTTGGAAAAAGAAATGAACCCCGGTAAGAGCTGATGTTTAATTGCCTCATGTTCTCTTGCTTCTCATTTCTTATAAAATGTTTAAGGAAGATTAGTGTGATGGTCTCAGGTCTGAGTTTTACTCTAAGAGCCCACAGAGCAGCCCACCTCAGTTCTCAGGCCATGAGAGATTACAGTCCCTTCTAGCTGTCCCCAAATACTGCCCTTAACCTTTGAGCTCGGCCCCTGCAAAATCCCCAACTATGAACTTGTGAGTGGCCACTTCTTCAGGCTCTTCTGTCATAGCACCCTTCTTACTGTGGCAAGAAACACAATCAAGTAACAACTGAAGCATTTTTAAATCTGGAAATGTGAAGTATTACACTGCTGAGAATCCTGGTGGCTGAACCACTGACTCTGGCAGCACGGGATGGAAAATAACTACTCATCTCTCCCTAACCTCTAGCACCAATTTACTTTAGCAAGCTATTAACCCCGAGGACAAGAGGGAAGCTGAAGATAAAAGTGGAAAGAACACTGGACCAGGAGTCAGAAGACCTGGATTCTGAGCCTCTCTGTACCAAGTGTCCTTAGACGAGCCACTGAAATAAGGAAACTTTGAGCAGAATAATTCCCAGCCTCAGTGTCCTTATCTGCTAATAATACTGGCCCACCCACCTCTCAAGATATTTTGATAACAAAATGAGATAATCCATATGCAGGTGCTTTGAAAAGTATATACTGTTATACAAATTGTAAGGTACTGTTATCAAAATTTTTACAGCACATTCATTTCTGAAATGAATCTTGCTATCATGGCAAAAAACTTTTACTCCATTGGCTTGAGCTAAAACTATAACATTGTTAGTTAACAATTTTTGAGCTAAAACTATGATATTGTTGCAACATCCTTATTTTGAAATGGTTTTCAAAATAGTACTTGTCACATTGCTATTATAAAAATGACCATGGGCATTTTCCACCATAATCTCCACTTAAAATTTGTGTATTGCTCCAGATATCACAGATCTGACATTCCAGTGGTCAAGCAGGAGGCAAAGTAGTTGTCTGATAAGTTTGAAAAGTTATACACAGCCCAAGCTGAAGGCTGTGGGGCACCCAGATGATCAGCTCATTCTTTCGCCCTGTATCTGAGGCTTTGGGAGATGCATTAAGGAGACAGTGGCAGCTATTAGAGGTCTACACCATAGTACAGGTATATAAACATATGAGGTCGAGAGCCTCCTGGTGAATTTCATGTGGTCGACTTATCTCTTTTGTATAGAACATAACAAAAGAATCCTTTTCTCCCAAAACAATTACCAGCCTGAACACACCACATACACACACCCCTCACACATACACACCAACTAGCACATACCTCCTTAAATGTCCCTGGAGTGATGATCAGCCGATAAGTTATGTATGTGGGGATACAGATGAAAGATGAAGTTCCTATGCAGTACCCCAGGATGCTAGACCAGTGGGGATAATTATAATTGAAAAGTCGTAGCTGTGGTGGGCTCATCAAAAAACTGCAAAGGATGAACTAAAACAGAAATTCCAAGAAACATTAAGAATCTTAACAATATCCATGCAGACAGAGACAGCTTTGATACCACAAACACCAAATGCTAAAGCTAAGATACTTTGGGGAAATTCCCAAAATGTGCTATATCCTAGATTGAACGCTGACACACAAAATTATCAATTTCTGTACCCAAGCTGCAAGAATAAAACAGCCAGGTGCTTTTCCTGAGTTTCCTCCCCATCCCCTACCTCAGCCCCTACAGTGGGGATAGTACAGCATCCCTACGGTTACCCCTACAGTTAGGGAAGTTACAGCGCCCCCTTCAGTGCAAGAGATTGGCATCCATTGAGAGTGGTCTGGGCCTGGTCTTGTCAGAAAGCAGAGGAATAAACTGGGTGACCTCTCCATAGCCCCTCCAGACCTAGGGCTTCATATTTCTCTCTGTTTTGTTTTCATTTCCATGCATTTCTCAGCTGTAATTGTTTTGGGTCAAATGAAAGGTGCCTTGTGTCCAGGAAAGATAATAAGGTTCTCGAGACCTAGAGAGGACTCAGGCTTCTGGGTATGTGTTCCTTCTTCCCTTTTCTTGAGCTCTCTGCCTTCTGCATTAAGCTCCATAACCTGGGGTTTCAACAAGGACGGCTCTGCCACGAGGCATCTCAGCAAAGAATGACTGCCTGCCACAAGTCCTCATAATAAAAGGCATTACGGAAGGAAACAAGCAGCGTAATACACTTTTCACTTGAAAATTCTGTGAAAATTTTAACCAAGAAAAATTCCATGGTGCGCTCCTGACACCCAGCTTATGAGTTTTCTTATTTCAGTTTGGTTTCCAGAGAGCGTAAATATCAGTTTTTGCCTAGTAACCACTGTGCCAAAATTGTTATTGCTCTTGATTTAATTTTATTTTATTATTCCATAGTCATAAAGCAGACAGTAATGTAAATTATTTGTGTGGTTAAACATCTATTTATATCTTTTTTTTTCTTTGTCTGCAGGTAGTAAAATGGGAAATGGTTAAACACACATCCATCTTCTGAGCAGTGTTATCCTAAGTCCGGGAGGAAGCCTTCAAAACAGAAGCCCCGTCAATCACAACCCTTCTGCTGACCTACTCTCCTCGTCCCCAGACCCGGCTACCAAGGAAGATCCTTTTGGGAGAGGGAAGAAGAGGGTCTGGTCAGGAGCGCTCCCTGCCACACAGCTTGTCTCATCTCGATGGCAGGTGTGCGGAATCAACTCGGCCAGGGAGGGCTGCTTGTTGCGGCAAGTGCCACTCGGAAACCCCCTGACACACCCCAGCCTATCCCTGCTCATACGCAACATTTTCTTTTATTGTAATTTGGCTTCAGTGAAAAAGAATATTTTTAGTAAGCTACTTGTTGTTTACCTTAAAGCAACCTTAAAAAGCCCAGAACAGGGGATCTGTTAAGTAAACCTAGAAGTGGAAGACAGACTTGCCTCCTCTTAATTGGGCACTAGAGCACTTGCCTTTAGAGGAAGTGAGTAAAGCAAACATGGGGATTATGAGTAATGTGCCTGAGCCCGAATCTGTACGTGGGTTTTGCTGGGCAAAGAAACTCACTGTGCACCAAGAGCTTGCCCAATCCGATAACCAGAAATTCACAGAAATGAACATTCCCAAAGCCTCAGGGCCAGGACCAGGGTGAGGCATATAAGGCTTAGTTGTTTAAGGTGGAGGGCGGAGGGCAAAATTTCAGTAATCAAGTTAAATAATATTTTAGTGCAAATTTTAAAAGATAGGATCTGACAGACTATGGACTCGGATAAAGTGAGTGAGGTAAACCATACAAATATAGGGTCGGATCTTGTGTTTATTTAAAATGTTGATATTTTGTTCATCCTGAATCTTTTTGCATTAATTTTATTTTTAAAAATATTGCATTTAAATATTATCTTGAATACTGAGTTTTTTGGTGCCCCCCTTAAATTTTATACCATGGTGAGTATCTCAGTTGCTTCACCCAGGTCTCAGCCCTGACATTATTTCCTCCCTCTGTGGGGAACATGAAGGCAAGCAAGCAAACATGTTTCTGCCCTCGAGGAATTAATCCAATGGCTCTTCTTCTTTGAAAAACAAATGAAAGGACTTAAGTAGATTATGGAGAAGCACTGGTAATGATACAGATTAATAACCCACTTATGTCAGGACTTCTGCTTCTGGTGGTGGTGGGCTAGGTGATTCTGACCAACCCTCTCCCCAGAAAACAACTAAGACTTCTGGGTTAAAAAATAAATGTGTTTTAAATTTACCTAAAAGCATCATGAGCTGATAGGGTAAAGGAGACCAGAGTCACACCAGAGCCACTGTGCCCTGGGAATATTTGCTGCTTAAAGCAAACATTGGCTTTGATTTTGGAAACCTGCGGGGTCCAGGGGCAGGGAAGTCAGGGAGGGGTTCTGGGGTAGAGAGAGACCTGCAGTGTCACGGAGGCGAGAATGAGCACACTGTCCCTCATATGGAAGTTAATGTCGAGAGGTGTGGGCACAAAAAAGGTACCAAAAATAAAGGGCTGCCCCAAGAAAGTCAAAACGGAATACAAAAAGGGCTGTTTTGAAAGGGGGGAAGGGACAGCTACATGCCAAAGAGGTGTCCTAAGACAAAATGGGATGGCCCGGATCCTCCGAATCAGCTGGAGATACACTGGAGGAACAGTCTAACAACTGTTCTGGTTCTAAAAGATCAAAATGTCCCCAAAATAAAGTTACAGATAGATGAAAGAACTGAAGAATAATCCCTGCTGGGGTGCATGGCGTGGGTTTACCCCGGCTACCCGAGTGCACTTAGGGGGCCAGCAGGGTGTCACCCACCTCAGGCAAACATCTCCCTCCAGGTGGACACCAAGGGAAGCAGGGGCACGGGAAGCAAGGGCGAAGGGAATACCGAGCACCTCTCCACAAAGGGACAACCCTTGGAGCTTGGCTGTTTTCCCACCCAGGTCCTTCGGCAATAAACGTACTTTACTTTTGACTCAGATCTGTGTTTGAGGACCTCCGTGTGGGGCCTCTTTAAGAAAACGCATGTCAAGTTATAAATACAAAATTACTAAGACCCCTTCCAGGGCCTTCATGAGCAGCACAGTAAGTCCTTCCCTGCTCTTGAACAGTTCTACTTATTACATGACTTTGGACCCCTTCACATAACATTCCTAAGTCTCAATTTCCTGAGACGTGAAATGGGAGAACCGGAACTGTAACTACTCCATAGGATTATTGTGAGGATTAAAAGAGCAACGGGTGTAAGTTTAACCCAAAGTCTGGCCTGGCACTTAGCACTCAATGAATGGTATCTGTCATTATTGTTGAGCAGGCGAGTGGTACGCTAAAGTGACTGAAGCCAGCCTGCTCTGTGGTGTTAGAATTCAGAAGAGTGGGGAACCACGGTGGGCAGAGAGGCTGGGAGGGGGCACGAGAGGGGCTGCTGAAGTGCGGGTTGTGTTTTTGTCTCTTGGTATGGTGTTGGCTACATAGGTGCGCTCAATTTATAAAATTTCTTTGAGATGTACACTGAGGATTTGCATGCTTTTCTGTATGTTATACTTAAATAAAATTTATTTTTTATAAGTGTCTTTTTCTGGGGCAAGAAGGTGAAGGGAAATGACAACTCACCAGGAGAAACACAGGGCTGATGGCTACCCAGCAGATCCTCCAAAACCATCCAGGGCTGAAGCCAAGCATTTCCTTCACATCACTGCAGAACTGAGAGATGCCTAAAGTCACCCAAAAGAGAAAGAGACTGACTGAGAGAGCACATGGACTGTCCTGTTTCCTGATTCTCAGGGCGAGTCAGGCTCACTGGGATCAGCACTGGGAAAGACAAGGAGGAAGGGAGCTGGAATTCCTACCCAGAACGAACTTCCAGCTCTGGAATTTCTCTATGGGAGGAGCTCAGGGACACCAATATTGTCTGAAAGTGGGACTGGGGGACTTGTCACAAAGTTGTATTTTTATAGCAAGCAAATAAAGCTCTTTCTACATAATGTGGGAAGATTGATGGACACTGGGAAGAGACCTAACAACCCCTCTTGGTGCTACACTACCTTTCTAAGATAGCAGTGTATATTTGATTTTATTGTTATAGAAAAGAAAGTTGAATTCTGTCTAGGAATGGTGAACCCGCTGGACAGAGACTGACTGTGACCGTTAGGCTAGAAATGTTCCAGAGAAAATTTTAACCACAATATTGCCCATTCATATGCCAGATCAAGATCAAGGTTCTTCTATAAAAAGTAACTGATGCGGAAGTGAGAACTGAGAACTCCCACCAACGGGTGAGAAATTGAGAAAGGGAGGTGCTGGGTGGTTGCTTCCCTGGGAGCTCCCAGCAGTTCCTAGGGCAGGTCTATAGCAGTTCACACACTTTGAACTTTGTCCTCTGAATTGCCAAGGAGGTGGGGAGGATTTCTTCTTTTAAAAAAACTGGGCCTATGTGCAACTCAAATGTGCCCTCCCCTTCATAATGACTGCCATTCTAAAGTGGTTTATTATCATAGTAAGAAAATAAATATTTTTTTTAAGAAATGAGGTCTTGCTCTGTTGCCCAGGCTGGAGCACAGTGGCATGATCATAGCTGACTGCCGCCTTGAACTCCTGGGCTCAAGCAATCCTTCCACCTCAGCCTCCTAAAGTGTTGGGATTACAGGCATGGGCCACCGCACCCCGCCAATAAATATATTTTTAGAATGAAATAATCACTTCTTGATTTGAAAGAGAGGCATCTCTGAACCTGGTGTTTTCCTTTTCAATTGACTGTGCCTTCCCCATCCCCACCCAGGGGCTCTTGGGACCTCTGCCAATGGACCAACGTCAGCTCACTCCCTGCACCCCTGGTGGTTTTACCCTTATCAAATTCCATCCCAGGACCAGAGGGGAATGAACTGAGGACTGTACCAAGGCAAACAGCACAAATAAGAGCATTCTTGCCTCTTCCCTAGAAGATAAGCTCCTAAGCTGTGCCTCAGGGCTCTGGAAGGAGCTCTTGCTCGAGAAATTTAAATTTGGGGCCACTCCATTTAACAGTAGTATATCGTACATTCTGCAAATGCATTCGCTGTGCACTAATTCTGAGTTGTCTATTCGGTTCTTAGAGCCCATCGGGATGTTAACTACTGTGGATGAGCTACATGGAACTGCTTTAGCCTGTCTCCACTGGGTAAACATTCAAACTTGGAAGGAAAAAAAACGTCCTCCCAAGAGAATGGGCAGTCCGTTGTACCGAGTGCGAGTGTGAAGGAAATGACCTATTTCTGAAGAAGGCACGCAGCTGAGATTATTTTACAGAACCATAAGGAGGTCACACCCGTAAACTGCCCCTCCCTGCCTCTCTTTGATGAAATCAGCCCTTCTCTGTTGTGCTGGCTGGGTCGTGTAGATAGGATCCCAGCGGGGCTGAAGGAAGCATCTTACCGTAGAACCAAGACACAGCAATGGCTTCTATAAGTACGACAGTAAGCACGGCAGGCCCTGTGGCATACTCCTCCAGCAGCTTCACCACGTAGGCCCCGCCCTGGAAATGAGAGTGTGAGCCTAGTTAAGGGCCCTCTGAGGCGCTGCCTCTCCTTACTACACAGGCCTGCAGAAGCTTCTTAATGTAGGGTATTTCTGGAAAATTCCCACGTTGGACCTAATATAAAGACCCCAGAGTCCGCCTCTTGAACTGGCCTTTGCAATGTGGGCCAGGTACTCACCCTGCAAGACACTTCTTCCTGTCCTATGAAACACATTCTTCTTACTTGTTTCCTCTCCTCACTAAATTTTAAGAGACAAACTCCAAAAGGCCTCTGAATCTATTTTCAACTTTCTTCAACTTACTGAACACTTATTGTGTTCCTGGAGAACTTCCACCTCTAGAGACTGAATCTGGGAGGGTCCATGACACCAGACACATTGAGGACCTTGGTCGCAGTTGCCATCTGTCCTAACTCATGACTCCTTTGGGTTCTACTCAGCCCCACTCCACCCCCTCTCTGAAGCTCCAAGGCCATTGGGGTCACTGCTTGAAGATGCATATCTGCAAAATCTGCCTTGAGTCAGGAGGACACAGCCTAGGATGCCTGTGGATACTATCTGATGCAGACTTCAGAGTATTTCAGCTGCCAAAAAAAAAAAAAAAAAAAAAAATTGCCAGTAAGGCAATGACTGACTTCTTTACCATTGCAAGTTCTGGAGGAGACAAAGTGGCATTCCACATATGAGATGCCAGCCTCCAGATGTTCTGCATATCAGGATATCAAGGCGACATTCCCATGAAAGCAGCCCTAAGGAGTGGAAATAGACTGGAAAAGAAAATCCTAAATTCTCTCCAGGTATTTTGCCAAGCCTGAAATCTAGTTGGATCTCTTGTAAAATGCTAGAGCCTCCAGATAACTTTGCACAGATTCTCAAACAGATGCTGCCAGAAACACTTTCTTCTCCTTGATGACAAACTTTTCAATGGGAGTAATAAACCCTCTTCCTTTGGCCCCAAAGCCAGGGTGCCATGTGGGATGGAAGGAAAGGGACAGCCTCTCATAGTGTTCTATTGCCCTAGGGGAGGCCAGCTCAAAGCTGAGGGCATGATACTCACAAAAGTCAGGGTGATCAGGGATCCGAAGAAGCAGGTAATGACCACAGCGAGTACAAACCACTCCCGGCGTTTGGCCCAGATGTGCGGGAATTCATCCAACACAGCCGTGATCACCCCCTCCAAGCCTGCAAACTGAGAGGTACATGCACACGGTCACAGTGGAGGCTTTGGGACAAGTCTGTGGACTTCAGGACAGTGAACAGGAGGGAGGGGTAAGATGGCTGAGTGACTAGTCAAGTAAATCGTGACCAGTTCTCCTGACTCACTGGCCCATGAAAGCATCTAGAAGTATATTCCCCTGTTTTACACTGTCATTTAGAACCCTTCACTAAGGACATCCAGGAAAGAAAATGTAACGTATGGACAGAACTTCAATATGTGAGGTCTCTTGGGGAAACTTTGCAGCAGAAAGGCCACGTGCAAGCTGCTGAGCTGAATGCTAGGCAGGGCAGAGACACAAGGACCTCCCCCGGCCTTTAGGTGCCATCATCTGGGCAAGGGCAGTGCACAATAATGACAGTTCACGTACGGCGAGTGCTTGGCTGGTGCCAGCACGTTACCCACATTATCCCATTAATGACTCGGCAGTACTTGAGGGTGGTAAGTGCCATCACTGAGGAGTGAAGCCGGGGCCTGGGAAGCACCAGAGATGGGAGGGAAGGAGTATAGCTGCCGCCACCTCCTCCTCCTCCTCGTCACCTCTCCTCTTCATCCTCCCAGAGCCCATCTTCCCTCCCCACTCACTCACCGTGCTGTCCAAGCCCAGCGTGATTAACATCAGGAAGAAGATGATGGCAAAGAACGTGGACGCTGGCATGTTGGCTATAGCTTCTGCATATGTGATGAAGAGGAGGCTGGGGCCTGAGACAGAGGGGGAGAAAAGAGGAGGTGGTTGCTGAGACCTGTCCTACAAAGATGTCACGGAGGAAAACTCAGCCACAACAGTTCCAGTTCTTATCGCAAGACCTTACACGTGAGTCAGGCCTTGACACGCACCCAGTGCTCCCTCACACTCCACTCCTCACACCCGGCCACCTGACATCCTGGTGGGCAGACAGTGCCCATCTTGAAAACTGTGTGCCCTCGATTAGTGTGGGAGATGGAAACAGACCAGAGACCCCTAAGACTAGCGAAGCTGCACACAGTATAAGAGTTTCCACTACATAACAACTCAGTGGCTTTTTCAGCACCAGGATTGATATTTCTAAAGTCCCACAGCATTTAGTCCCCTCTGATGTCTTTAGCTCCAGACCAGCAGGAAGTATTAAATTGATTTCAGTAGCGTCACAGAGACCTTGGAATAAAGACCTCCTATTTTAAAGTCCCTATTGATAGTGTGAGGGACACACCTTCAACCTCTCATGGGCTAGCTAGGGGTACCCTCATTTGGGGTACAGGCTTGATCAAAGCACTGCATCAGGCCAAAGACACAGTCTGTTAGCAAGAAAGCCTTGGCACCCATCCTCTAGATCCAATCATGTCTTTTCCAACCTCTGTTGCTCTTTTCTTATTCCATGAAAACCTCACAGTGGAGTAACCACATTGGATATATTTTATTTTTCTGCAAGGAGTAATTCTAAGAATAATTATTTGCTTACTAGACTTGTAGCTATCCCAAGACCATGACAGGTCCCAAACCCACTGGTTTTACTGCTATCATCCGAGTCACATTTTCAAGTCTGTAGGTTTTTGAAGCCCCCACTCCTGGGCACCAAGGAAGCAGCACCATTCCCAGTGACCTGAATGCATGGAAAGGGTTGAGATTTCCAAGGCATTAAGTTTCTCTCAAATCTTTGAAAAATTTAAGGCAGCATTTGGAAATAATTCAAAAGTTATGTATTTGTAAAGATTCAAAGCCAGGAAATTCAGTAGGAGCAGGGGACCTAAACAGAACCTAAGGTCTTACCTGCATCTTTGGCCACCTCAGACACATCCTCGTTCCTCATCTCAGCCATGTACCCTAGCACCGTGAAGATGACAAATCCCGAAACGAAGCTCGTCATGCAGTTCACCACACTGGTCACCAGGGCATCTCTGGAGTGGGAAACCCAAGGGGTCTGAGACAGTTCCAAGGTCGGGAGTCTAAGGAGCATCTGTCTGTTTGCCTGCCCTGCTGGAGACAGGCCAGCTGTGGCAAGGGCCATCAGGCTGAGCTGTCCAGTATCCTGTCCCCTTTTCTCAGAGCCCACCTCCCAGGCTGGAAGCACAAACTGCTGGAAGCACACAGTGTGGGGAGAATAGCGAGAATAGCAGGTTGGGAATTTTTTTTTTTTTTTTTTGAGACAGGATCTCGCTCTGTCACCCGGACTAGAGTGCAGTGGTGCCATCATAGCTGACTGCAGCCTTGAACTGCTGTGCTCAAGCGATCCTCCCACCTTAGCCTCTGAAGTAGCTGGGACTACAGGTGCACGCCACCACACCCAGCTAATTTTTCTATTTTTTTGTTCAGACAAGGTCTCACTATGTTGCCCAGGCTGGTCTTGAACTTCTGGCCTCAAGCCATCTTCCTGCCTTAGCCTCCCATAGTGCTGGGATTATAGGAATGAGCCATCGTGTCCAGCCTAAGGGGTGTTTTAAAAGGCAAACTTATTGTGAAACAGCACAACACAGACCTCCCCATTTCAAATAGGCCTAGTTCAGGAGCAGGGCCCAGGTTGGAATGGGGGCTAGGATGAGGCCTTGGCTTCACGTTTGTGAAGTCCTCATATTTAGACTTTGACATTATCTTCAAATAAAGTCAAAAGACTGCCACAGAGATACTTTTAAAAGACTTCATCATACAACTTCAGGCTGGTGTCCCATTGCAAGGCCACATTGCTTAGGGTACAAATGAATCACCCCCTACCTTTAAAAAAATAAATTCTATAATTATCTTATGAATAGCATAAATAGATTGCCAGACACTGCCATCTGTAATAGAGCATTAAAAGTCTAAAGATGATGAGTGATATTTAAATCATAATTGGTACAACACTTCCAGTTTTGTTAAAATTTCTGAAGTAAGTTTTTGCAAGGAAAAAAATTGTGGCATTTTGTGTTAGTCAAAATAATTAATCATTTTACTTTTTTGTGTACGTACATAAAACAAATGGTCACATCACAATTTTTGTTGTTAAACATATTAACTAATTAAACCTAACTATTGTATGTTACAATTTTTATAAACCTGCTTTGGAATTTCTTTTTTTTTTTTTTTTTTGAGACAGAGTCTCACTCTTTTTGCCCGGGCTAGAGTGCCGTGGCGTCAGCCTAACTCACAGCAACCTCACACTCCTGGCCTCAAGCAATCCTTCTGCCTCAGCCTCCCGAGTAGCTGGGACTACAGGCATGCACCACCATGCCTGGCTAATTTTTTCTATGTATTTTTAGTTGTCTGATTAATTTCTTTCTATTTTTAGTAGAGACGGGGTCTCGCTCTTGCTCAGGCTGGTCTCAAACTACTGAGCTCAAACAATCCGCCCGCCTCAGCCTCCCAGAGAGCTAGGATTACAGGCGTGAGCCACCACGCCTGGCCGGAATTTCTTTTTTCTTGAGACAGGGTCTTGCTCTGTTGCCAGGCTAGAGTACAGTGGCATCATCGTAGCTCACTGCAACCTCAAACTCGTGGGCTCAGATGATCCTCCTGCCTCAGCCTCCTGAGTAGCTGGGACTACAGGTGTGTGCCAGCATGCCTGGCTAATTTTTCTATTTTTTGTAGACATGAGGTCTCGCTCTTGCTCAGTCTGGTCTCGAACTTCAGACCTCAAGTGATCCTCCCACCTCAGCCTCCCAAAGTGCAGATTACAGGTGTGAGCCAAAGCACTCAGCCTCAGAATTTCTTAATTATTATTTTTTTTATATACAGGGACTCCCGCAACCTCTGAGTAGCCCAAGTGAAGTTATGGCCTGGGTGGGTGCTCTAGCCATGGGTGAATTGGTCAGGGACCTGCGGTACTCCCAAGGGGTAGTGTCATCATGGCCAGAGCCTGGTCAAGTTCGAGGCCATCAGTTCAATCGCCTTCCTCCAGACTAGCTAACTTTCACTTACCCCACTTTCAAGCTTTGCTCGAGGGCCCCAGATACTCACTGGTAACAGTTGTTGTGGAATTTGTTGTAGCTAGCAAAAGCCAGTAGGACCCCAAAGCCCGGACCGAGAGAGAAGAAGATCTGAGCAGCAGCATCCACCCATACCTGGAACACAGCAGGGATCAGGGCGTGGGGGTGGGGGTGAGACCCAGGCTGACACCGGGCACCTGTGGGGCCAGCACCTCTTGCGCCTCCATGTGGCTTTGCACAGAGCTGGGAGACCAGCTTGTAAGGCACATTCCAGGAATGGCCACATATCAAGTGCAAAAAAACGTAATTTCTTTTCCTATCATTTAGGCATAAACCCATCAGTGGCCTCAACTGTGCCTTTTGTGGTTGTAGTTCTGGTTTTAAACATCATTGCAGACTTGCACACCGAAAGCAAATTCCAGTTGTCCCTACCATCCTATTCAGAGGAGCACTAGCTTCATTTAGTAAAATGACAGGTGCATACAGTTTCCCCCATCTTACCCCTGTCTCCAGGAGTTTCTGCCAGTTGGGTTTCAAGTAGAAGAGAACACCCCTCCAGGCTCCCGGTAGAGTGGCCCCCCTCACCAGCAGGACAGAAAGGACGATGTAAGGGAAGGTGGCTGTCACCCACACCACCTGTAAGGACGGAGAGCAGAAACACAGGTTATCACCATGCTATTCCGGAAGGGGCAGGGGAGGGAGATGGGTGGACATCAGTGTCTTTTATTCTTGAAGGCCTAGAGAAAGGAGATCCACCTTTTTTCTGTCATTTTAGGAGACAGGGTGCTGTAGCAGAAAGATCACAGCCTTCAGAATCAGGTGGATAAGGATCTGATTCAGCTTGGCCAATACTAACCTCAAAGCCTGCTCCGCATCTGTAGAATGGGGAAATATCTAGCAGGAAACAACAGAGTTGGCCTGTGTATCTAAAGCACTGAACATGGTCCATGATGGGTTTCCAGTAAATTATTGCCACTATTACTAATTGTGATACTACCAGAGGGTTAAGGGAATTTTGAAAAAAAAAATCATATAATGGTTCTTGAGATTGGCCCATTTCGAGAATTTTCTAACAGATTTAGTGAAGAGAGAGATTGAGCATCATGGAATATGTTTGGTGTTGAAGGAAACAGCGACTGTCCCCTGACCAGTAGCTGTCCAGGCTACTGGGTTCTATGTTTGAGACTCTGTGGGCATCTTGGCCAGCCTGGATCAGCGGCTAGAGTCTCCTCACCTTGCCAGATGTTTTGACACCTTTCCAGATGCTGAAATAGATAACAGTGAAGATCAGCATGATGCAGAGGGCAAGCTGCCAGCTGATGCCCCCCAGGTCCTGGAGTCCCTTGGACCGGTGGATCTGTAGGACGTGGCGCCTGGGGTACAGGAGAAAGAAAGGCCCTGAGAGAGGGTCTGCACAGTGATCTGGGCACACAGTCTGTGATACCTCTAGAAGGGAGCCTGGGGGAAAATGGACGCTGCCCTGCAAGGACCAAGTGGCCACTGAGCCCCCGGAAGAGCTGAAATTGGCCCTGCCCATCCTGAAGGAGTAAGATGCACATTCAGTCTGCCACCCCTGGGAGGAGTGCTCAGCCCAAAGGCAGACTTCCTGGTCTCCCCTTTGCTGGCTGGGACCTGAACCCCTTTGATCAACATGACTGGCTTTTAGGTACATGAGGATGTGTATGTGTGGGTACTGGCCCCCCTCCCATACCCCAAAGGAGCTCTTTCTTTGGGTTGTCATTGCCTGAAGTTCCAGCATTAAAAAAGACTACCTTCTACAAGCATCTTCTTCCAAAAGACGGATTCCACTTAAGAAGTCAACACATTAAACCAGAAATTATTCGAACAGTTTTGAATTATTGAAGTAGTAGGATGCTTTGCTTCCATGATAGCTGGCCAAGACGAGGACACAGGAAGGAGGGTGGTTTTGATGCAGGGAAATAGTTGTGGAATGTGAATGCAGGGATCTGCTTGGGCATGCTGGGGCAATCCGGATTGGCACATCAGAAAGGAGGTGGGGAGGTGCACAAGGGCCAGATTATGGAGTCCTTGAGGTAGAGCTTCTGGCCCTGCCACTCTGTTGCTCACATTTGCTCCCCCAGCCCTGATAGCTTCATCTCTCAGAAATCTGCCAGGAGAGGGGTGAAGAGCTCTTGGCTCCTGCCTTCTTCCTACACGGCCAAACCACAGGGGTGTGGCCTGCCGCTAACAGACCACCCCCTCACTTACATGCACTTACGTGTAAAACTCTTCAGCGGGGGATGTGGAATGGGGTGTCCAGGTGATGTTGCCCTCAGAGAAGTAGTTGGTGCAGTTGCCAGTGTTCCAGGAGTTCTTGCAGCTGGTCCAGGGCAGCTGGTCGGTGAAGGAGGAGATGAGGTAGTACAGTGCCCAGGCCATGATGGTGTTGTAGTAGGAAGCAATGTAAAAGGCAATGATGCAGATGGTGTAACCGATCCCTGGGCAGTGGGTGAGACAGGGGAGAGAGGCCAAGTTTACAGGATAACCCAACAGTGAAAGGCTGAAACAGGGTGTTGGAGAATCCCACAGCCCAGGGGAAAGGGAAGGGTGGGTGCTACCATCCACATCATTCCCCAAGGACTCTGGGAGACGTTGGAAAAAGCAGCAATGCAGCAAATTACTCATATAGATTTGTAAGGTTACATGTTTTAGAAAATATGCATGTGTGCTGTTAATGCCATAAAATTTTTAAATTTAGTTTACTTTTAGTTGCCCTGTATTCTGTTTTCCTTGAACAATTTCACGCTATTTGAGTAGTCAAAAACTTAATTACCCAAGGTATCTTCCAGGGATACCTAAGGCCTAACTGATTTCCAGATGAAGGTCCCCAGCTCCCACCCATTCATGGAAATCACCACTTCCTTGGAGGCCCCACTCACCCACCCACCTAAAACCTGGAGTTACCTTTGAAAATTGGGCAGATTTTCCTCCAGATTGAAATGCATCCATTTCGATGGTACTGCCCCAGCGCGAGCTCCATGTAAAAGAGCGGGATCCCCCCAAAAATGGCCATGATGGTGTAGGGCAGGAGGAACGCCCCTGAGGCAGATGAAAGACAATTTCACTCCCTGCCCATAGCTATTCCAGGACAGCCCAGCTGATCTGTCATGCCAAGAATCACATAGCCATCTGATGTGCAAGCATCACAAAGCCACGCTATGCTGAGTGACCTCACACCGTGCTCCCCTAGTTTTAGTCTTGGCCAGAAGTAGTAGTAGACAGAGCTCCACAGCTAAAACGAGGTTCGGGAGAGGAGGCCAATAGAATAAATGTAAAGAAAGCTAGGTTTGGGAGTGAACAGAACAAGCACTAGGCCCACCTCTACTTCTGACTGCCTGGAGAACCCTGGCCACTTCCCCTCTCTGAGCCCCAAAGTCCTCCCTGTAACATGACAGGGTTGAGGAGAGCTGAGGTTCCCAAACACAGCCATGCATCATAATCACTTGGTGAGCTTAAAAACTGACACCCAGATTCCTAGGTCCACCCCAGACCTTCTCATGCAGAATCTCCAGGTATGGGTGCAACACAAAATTTTTTCAATTTCCCTAGGTGATTGGTATTTGGGACCCTTGGAACAGATCAGGTACGACGATCTGTAACAATAGCTGCGACCATCTTGGAGTCACTGAATTACTGTCTTTGTTCATTGGTATGACTCCAGACACTTGATTATTGACATTTGACTATATTTCCATAATTCCATTGAGCAGAATGATCCCTCACAAGCTACCTTTGCAGAGGTGACAGAAAAGGGTAGTTTTCATGGAACAAGATAGCACAGAGCTGCTGCATAACTGGACATGCTCGTGTCTCCTGGATCTTGTGGCTGAGGCTGAGTTTAGAAATGCCAGGTTGGGGAATGCCCACCTGCAACCTGAGTTTTAGCCCAAAGGGTGGGTCAGCTATGATTTTCCCTGATGACTTTTCCTCCCATAAAATGCTTTGAATCTAGAAATCTGAAATCAGTACAACTCGGAAAGGTCTACATAACTTATAATCACACTGGATAAACCTGCTTGAGAACAAAAAGCATGTTGTGTTTTTGTGGTGGGCTTTGTCCAAACGGTTTTTGCTTGATGGCTTCACACTTTGGAATGAGCGTAGGGAAAACATCACTGGTGACCTCGCCCCTTATGTAGCACTCAGGCTAAAGGTTAGTCTCTCTGCCAGGAGATAAGGTGATTATGACTTCTGCTTCTCCCAGGCAGGAAGCTGTGAGCTTCCTGGGTGCCCCCTGGAACTGTCTTTGCAGCCACATGGACAGAAGTTCTTAAGAGCAGCAAATCCAGGCAAGTTTGTGTCTGGCCACAGAAGTGAGGGTAAGGGTGACACAAATGAATTATCCCAAAACTTCCTTTGAGCTGCCCTCCCAAATTGGTTGCCAGAACTCCCATCAAAATAAATATTGACACCCTTTCCTTGTCCTTTTCCTATTCTGATAACAAGTCCAATGTCAACATGAAGGCCCCACAACTACTCCCTTCTCTCCCCTGCTCTACTCTCCCCCAGGTTCCCATATTCATGCTATATGGTCAGCTACTATTTTTGACAATCTACAAGTTAACTACTCTAGAGGCTTTAGGAGTACAAGAAGGAACAAGATAAGGTCTCTAGCCTAAAATAGCTAACATTCTCGTAGGAGATATAAGGTATACCCGTGCCTGGTTTGGGCTTGGCATTAATGTCATACTATGGCTGGGTCCAGCTTTGGAATATGCCCAAACTGGTAACTTAAGGCTCTAGACTTAAGTTGATGGCTTTCTCTGACCTCACACAGGTCCAAAGGCCCAGAAGAGTCTAGGACTCTGGAGCCAACCCCCAATTTTTCCTTATGCAGATCTAACCCTCCGGACTCTTCCGAGGGGAACCTGCCAGCAGGAGTGAAGGAACTCGGCACAGTGCTGATGGCCATTCCCTCCCTTCTGGCTGGCAGAGGACAGGGCTCGGATAACGCAGGGTGCGAAGGAGGCCCTTCAACAAATGAAGCACGAATGATGCTGAACATCTGCGAGGTCAGGTTTTGCTGACTTAAGCTTTTGGCTTCCTGAAAATTTGTCTTTTAGGCTAACTTGAAAGTCTAAGTCATCTTGTTCCCAGACTCATATCAATTAAGACAGAAAGGATATGATTTATCTTCTGGTCTCTCAAGAGGATCTACAGCCCACCCCTGGGTCAGAGCCTCCGCTCATGGCCGTGATACTGACCCCCTCCGTTCTGGTAACATATGTAGGGAAAGCGCCAGACGTTGCCCAGGTCCACAGCGTAGCCAATGACTGAGAGGAGGAAATCCACCTTTTTGCCCCAGGTCTCCCGCTCCCCTTGATGGACCTCAGCCACTAGGGCGGTGGTGGCAGCCGGGACAGAGTGCCGCGCGTCATCCCCGGCACCGGGACTCGGAACCGCTGAGTATCCATTGGATATTTGGCCGGACTCTGCTTTATCTGCTGGGGCAGGGACACCCTTCTGTAGAACTCCGTTTTCCTGACAATCTTCTCCGTCCTTACAGGCTGAGACCTCCTTCTGAGAATTTAAGGGTACGGTTTCCATCCTGGTTAGTGAATGATACCGATGCCCATCTGCCAAGGACCGGAACCGAGTTCTTGGTGCTTGGGTTTGTGGATCACCTCACAGCTCTATATCGAGGGGGTCCACAGCTCTGTTGGAAAGGCACACCGAGAGAGGAGAATAAAATTAGGCATTTACTTGTCTGTGGTACGAAGTCATCACATATCTTAAACTACACTAGTTAATGGGATCACAAATGCGTATGTCAAATGTGAGACATCCTATCTGCTATATGAGAGTCAATAAAAGAAACTAAGTTTTCAACCTACACAGGGTGTCAAATCACAAGTAATCTGAAAAGGAAACAACCAAATAAACAAAAATAGACAGCAAATCACCAAGGTTCTACACAGGCTCTATTTAAGAACAAAGCACTGGCTTCACTTTGAGGGACCAGATCTCGCCCTGTAGTTTGCCAGTAACTCAGAAGAACGTAAGAGGCTCACCCCAAAGCTTCACAGAGGCCTCGCTTGGTCCTGGGTGTTATGCTGGGAAAACAACAACAAATAAAGCAGGAGTTTCTGCCTGTAAGTAGGTAGGGATAGTCCTCTCCATCATTTAAGCTGAACACCTAAAGTTATATTTTATATAAACTGTACATATGATTTTAAAAGGAAAACAGCAAAGGAGAGACGTGAAAAAAGCCACCCTTTGTGAGGCACTCCTGCCTCCTTAGCTGTGGACTTTATCACTTTTCCCTTAACCCAGGTCTGGGAAGCTTTGGGCAGATTCTAACTGCCTCCAGCTGTGTCTACTCCGTCTGCCCTTGGCCTTTCTGCGTTCCCATTATGCCTCTGCAAGTCCGACTAGGCCTTAAATGGCACTGCTGCTCACCATTTGTTCTTCTCGCCACTCCCCAGCAACTCCTGTGGCTAAGCCACTTGTTAATTTGGCAACAGTGGGCAGGTAGGGTCACCTCGCATTCAGGAGAGCCAGGGAGAAGGGCCTGCTGCAGGTTACTGATGCTGGTGTGGCGTGTGTCTCTGTCCCCACGCACCTCTGTGGGGAGGGCTGAGCCGGGGCTGCTGCGCCTTGATCTCACTGCTGTGGGCCGGGGTACAGGGAAGTCGGCTCCGCTCTCGTCTGGATTGACGTCTGAGATGTTAAACGTGGGGTAGAAATCTGAGCCCTTTTGGACTTTAAACTTATGTCCTGTTATAAAGTTATAAGAAGCCAAGACCTTCCAGCTTGTTTTGTTTCTTCTGGGCCTGAGCTTTTCAAACTCCTGAAACGGTTTGGGAGTTGAAACATGTTTTCGATTAGCTAAGATCACATTATACCTTTCTAGGAAAAGATGACCAAGGATGGACTATTTACACCCGCAGAGGTCTGAGGCTAACCCTCCGAAACCTGCAATAGGAGGGAGACTAGGAATTGGTAGCTATTAATAATAAAAATGGAAATGTATGTCTCCCTCCTATCTGGCATTTTCAGTGACTACAACTTAACTATCTACATATGTGTAGACAAAAACAGCAAAAAATTAGAACACAAAGTAGTAGCTTCACACTGAGGACTATGGATACAAATATTGGCAAGGATTAGACACGAACACCAGGGGATATGAGTAATTAGAGTTTTTTGTTCTCTGTGTTCTTTTTTTCTTTAAAGTGGAAAATAAAAATTTTAAAGGAATTGATTACTGCCAAAAATAGCTACAGCAACAAGAGATAAATCAGCTCTATGTAGCCAGGCTGTGTATGTGTAAGGGGTAGATGTCCTGGGCTCTACCCTTGCCATGCCCCTGCCCGCCCCAGGCTCAAGGAGGCAAACACCACTCAGAAGAATATGAATTTCTGAATTTCAACGAAGTGATCTCGATAAAACTTCATTCTACTCACCTTGTATGCTGCTATCCAGCCTCTCCCTGCCCCTTGCTTCGTTGGCACCTCAACTAGACGGGATAGACTTTTTAAATAACCACACATCCTCTCATGCACCAGAAGTAAGCATTTCTCAGGCCAAGGGATTTTATTTTTGAGAGAGATGATGAGATGTCAATAGATTATATTTAAACACACAGCTGAATTAAACCTGAACTTGGTGGGCTCTGATTGTGTTGTCTGAGAAGGGCTCCGTACTTCCCTCTGGCTTTTATCAATGACGTTTTCCACATTAAACAAGGAGGAACTTGAAGACCAAATGGTAGAATCCGGAGCTTTCCTGAATGTGGCCACAGGGCACGGCACTGACAGAACCGCCACTTCCCTGCCTCCCGCCCTCCCCTGCCAGGCTTTCTGTGGGAGCTTCTTCCCATCTTCAGTACCGCCACCGTCCTCTCATTTAAATCGGAGCTCTAACTGCATCTCCTCCCCTTTCCCGGGCCTGTCTCCCAGCCTGCAGGGTCTATAGAAGGGAAACCCGGTCCAGCTCAGAAGCAGCAGCCCCGGCACTGACTTGTTACCCTCCAGCCTCAGGAACCAAATGACTTGTTCTGCATTTTATTTTCTTTCTCCCTTGGGGCATCCTGCAGAGAGGATGGAAACTGTGTGTGGGTCAGTAGATTTTGGAGGAGCAATGTATGTTTTCTGGGGTCCTCAGGGATTCAGCCCCCAAGGTATGTGATCTCGATTTCCTGGCAACCATGATGAGCAGCTGCTGAAAGAATAATACACTATTCTCTATTTTTGTTCTGAGCCATTGCAAAGGTCTTGTCTTCTGAAATAGCCCTAGTACTTTTTAATTTTTTTAATTTTTAAATATTTTATCAACAGGTGGAAATGGCCCAAGTGTGAGAAAACCTGGAGCATCCGTCAGGCGACTCATGACTTTGGGTTGCCTCTCCCCAGAGGCTGGTCTCTCTCCATCCCCCTCTGCTTTCTGGGGTTCTCCTGTTGCACCCCCACCCCTGAGTGTAGAACCCGGATGCAAACGGAAAGTCACAGCCATGTGAAGCCACCAATCAGGCAGGAGACACACATCTCCTTTTCTTCAACTCACTCCTCTGCCTCTCCCAGCCTCTCCGTGGCTAATCGGAGCAGGCAGGAGCAGAGGGCATGTGCCTGGGCCCCTTCCTGCCTCAGGCTGCTGCCAGTGGAGCACAGATGACTCCTTTTTCGATTTTCTGACTCTACAGAGCACTGACGGGCTTTTTCTACCGAGACCAGCAGACAACATGGTGAGAGCAAGCTGGCCCAGGAATACAGAAGTCTGAGTTGTTAAGGTTAGTTTCTGAGAGTGTACTCCTGAAAGCTTTCTTTTTTTAAAAGATATTTTTATACTGCTGGGTAGAAAGATTGCAAATGAGGCTAATATTACAGCTGTGACCTCCTCCAGGCAGCCTCTGAGTTTCTTCATGGGCAGAAGAAGCCCCAGAAGCCTTCCTTTGCACCTTGAATGTGAGCTGTTGTCCCACTGGAGCAGGTGACAGGTTGTGCCATGTAACTCAGCTGTTCTGTGGGACGACCACCTGATGTGTGTGAGCCTTGTCTCCCCAGGTCTCCGCGCACCGAGGGCAGCACAGTGATGCACTTGACCAGCTGTTGGTCATGGTTGACTTTCTGTTCACACTCCTGCTTCTCAGCCTGGGACTGAACGAATTCACTCCATTGCCCGCCACCCCCCCAGCTAGAAAAAAAAAAAAAAAGGACTATGTCTATTTAGACATCTGATCAAATCTTCATTCCTCTTTCCACAAACTCTCTCATGGAAACCAGTTCCTGAACAAGCATGGAATTATAATGATTTGTCAAAAAACCACCCGGCCCTCTGGAAATGCTCGTGACTCTACGTGACTGTTTGATGCCATTAGCACAACCTAAGCAGAAACGCTACAGAAATGTTGTACTTTGGCTTATAGAAATCTTGTACTTTGACTTCATGTGTCAAGATCAAAGTGAGTTTACTTTGCAGGAAACTCCATTTTCATTTTCAAAAACAAAACCAAACCCACATGAATTATGGGTTTAACATTGAGATAAGATTAATTATAGTCATATAGCCAAGTGGCAACTTGCGATCTCTGTTCAGAGAGAGGCTGAAGTTCCCAAGGACCCACCACAGATGACAGGAATCACCGAGCTCTGGTGCCTCCCCAGGCCATAAACGCTCACTCCGGCCCTCTCCACCGAGAAGCAGCAGTTCAGCAAAGATAAACTGTCTGCCTACTGTGCGCCAGGGCTATCCTCCCCTAGGTGGGGAAAGTTCTGGACAGAGACTCTTTTCTTTTCTCATGGTAACTGGTCCAAAGGGCTCTGAGGATTTCATCCTGTTTAATTCCTCTCCCAAAATTTAAATTCACTGACTCTCCTACAAGGAATGCTTTGGATAAAGAAACGGCTGTGATAGCAGAGTTCATTTCCACCCCTCACGTCCAAAAATCAAGCAGACAAGACAGGCACAATCCTGCCTTCGTGGAGTTCACAGGCCAAGGCCAAAAATCCGAAAAGGAAGACGGACGGCTAGGAAAAACAGCACGATGCTTAAGGAGAGAGGCCGGCGCTGCCTCTAAGTGCTGCCGCACATCCGGGCGTTCCCGCCGGCTTGCTGTGGCAGGTTTAGACGCCTCGCATTTACAGCGCCAAAGTTGCCCTCAGGTTTTAAAAGTCTTCCTTTTGCCGCTACTGCACGGTTTCTGTCCCAGGACGTCAGATTTTAGTTGATTCTTCCCCACAGGCTCCGCAGTGTAAAGTATTGGTTGGAACTTATCTGCTGAAGGCGGTGCTGAGTTGTCCGAAGCGTGCGGGGTCATAGGTCTTAAGCCATAGGGACGCCTGGCTTCCCTTTCAAACGAAATAAAGAGATTTCATGGTAGAAATGAAGGGGGTGGGAAAAAATCTGCTTGTTTTTTGGACATGAGGGGTGGAAACGAACTCTGCTATCACAGCCGTCTCTTTATCCAAAGCATTCCTTGTAGGAGAGTCAGTTAGTTTGAATTTTTGGAGAGGAATTAAACAGGATGAAATCCTCAGGGCCGTTTGGGCCAGTAACCATGAGACAAGAAAAGAGTCTCTGTCCAGAACTTTCCCCGTGGGGGAGGGATAGCCCCAAGAGTCTCTCCACAGAGTGTAAAGTCTGGAGGATTTAGCCATTTGTGATGGGTCGAGAGCACTCCAAGGCTCCCCCAAAGTACAGCGGGTTATTTATTT